TAAAAATGGTGACCTACTTCCCCATTGATAATCCATTTTGTTAGTGAGTGATTTCAACATGGTCGCATTTTATTACCCTATTTTTATTAACTGTCAAATACCGTCCCAACCATATGTTAATGTTATTATTAAAAGGTTCAAACAATTCAGTGGTCATTTGTTTATGTATATGATCCATACAGATTCTGTTCTAATATTCGTGATTAACAGTAACAATTTCTATAATCTGTTTCCTGATTTACTGCATTTAAGTCATCGCTTATGTCTTTGTTTAGTTAGTTTATGTGTCAAATACTACTTTCACATGGATTACCACTGTTACATTACAATTTTTAGACTCATAGTTTTAAACACACAATTTTAAATGTTTTCTAGCTGTTTGCCCGTTCTACGTACGGGAATCTTGTAGTAAGTTTAAACCTTATATTCAGAACAGGAGTTGGTTTGCATATTTAGTGTGCATTTTTCCAGATATGCTGGCAAAACTATTACTGTATAGGAATACATATAAACCTTCGCAAATACAATATCTGACAGTTTCAAAGCCAAAACGAATGCTTCGCAATTAAATGTCACCCGATCGTGTTAGTCCAGTTGTCTGGGGCGGATTTCTAGTAGTAGATTTTAAAAGTCATATAACATCTGATCTGATATGGTCACTTTCAACATGTGAAATTTGAAAATGATTGCCTCAGCCATCTAGGTAGTAGAAGAGTCGCAAGGGTAAAAGAGCTTCTGCTCACACCCCTCAAAAAGTGGTTATTTTATTTATGTGACAATTTCACAATGAAGTCAATGGTCCTTTTATTAAATAACAAACCCCAGTGTAATAACTGAACACATCTGCAATCCAAATATCCCACATAATTCTAATGCGTTGACCGGTTTTACCCAATATCTTTCTATTGCACTTTTAATACCTCCTGTGACGGTTGACCAGAATTACTCGATAGGATAAAAAAGGGTCAAGGATATAAACTAAAAATTAAAAATATTATATACACGATTTTACAACATTTTAGGCAAGATTGCATGAGCCTATACATGGTGCAATGCATCAAAAATATTCATGGACTGAATACAGTTGTCTGACTAGCCAGGCTTTGACTGTTTTATGAAAAGCGGTGGTTTACAAGTCTTAAATCTTTGGAGGAGATCATACACCACCAGAGCCCTAATCCAGTAACAGCTTTTGTGTTTTGGACAGCCTGTAGTTAGTAGGGTGGAGCTGGTTCCTGTTGAGGGGTGAAATTCCCCTGTTGTAAGTTGGTGCAGATTATCTTTCACATACTGTAACAGAGACTAAACTGTTTGAATGTACTTAATGTTTTTGGTGTTATAACAAATAAATACCCCCGCCGCAGCAAACCTGCCGACTAAGCGAATTTCCATTTGTCTGAATTGATTTCCAGTTAAATATATTTTAATAACATTAGGTTTAACGAGTACCTAGGTTTGCTGCTACAAGGAAACTAATAAAGTGTGTTTTTGAGTAAAATATTGATAGCTTAGTACAAAATAAATAAATTTGCCAAGTTCGATCAAAATATATCCATAAACAAGCAAACTACAACATTTTACAATATTCTCCTTAAGAATAACATGGGAATTTTAAATTTACAATTTTTTTAATTTTCTCCGTTACTAATAATCGAACAAAAATACTTTTGTATACTAAATTATTTGTTTTTTTAAGCTCTTTAAAAAGGTCTAAAGAGAAATCGGGAAATTTTGTGTTTTGAGGGTCAAAAGTGAGAAAAACCAATTTTTACCCCATAAAACCCCCCGTAAAGCCCCGTTCCCATGGTCCGATCTTGCTGGTTCGCGAACTCATTCAAGTTTATCCCGCTTTACACCTTTAAACCAAATTTCATCAAAATCGGACAAAAATTACTCAAGTTATCGCGTTCACGGACGTATATATATATATATATATATATATATATATGTCTATATATATATATATATACATATATAAAAATTTGAACGAATGGTGTTTTTGGCCTCTGGGGACATCAAAATGAAAAAGTAAATCGGTCCCGGGTCTAGGTCTTACCGTGCCACCTACGGTAATAGCTACTTCCCTATAGGGAAATTCGCTAAAATGTAGATACCGAAATTAGATTAATGTTTATTTATTACAATTAATGGTGTATTAATTTATCAGTTGATTCGGCCTTAATATTTGAACAGACGTGTATTGGATACATGCAGCACGGTAGCACGGACACCTTTAACTCCAGGCTGCGGCTCAAAGTGGCAACACTGTCAGTGGTGCCTAGTGCCGGTTATAGTGCTATTACAGCAGCTGTTTTGTTTGGAGGCATCTATAATGAGTATGTTGTTTATTTTTAAGAAGGGGAAAGCTTGGTTACTGGGCTATGAAAATATTAACGACATTTTAAATGTACAGAAATATATTTTCAATTTAGGCCTATATTGTTTTTTGGTTTACAACACTGTATGATTTAATTTCGAACTTTTAATAAATTTATATTATTTAAATGAATAATACGCGATTAAATGAATGGGTTTTACCCACGGCCACCTTTAACTCAATGGTTTTACCTGTCTGCTACAGTGCTACGTTACCTTATGGGACGTCTGGTGCTAAACAGCACTACTTTGTGACGTTGCCAATCATTAATAATAATTAATGATTTTTCTTTAGTGTAGCATGTTTTACTGTTGTATGACTGACTTGTGCCTTTCAAGCTTCCATGACAAGATTGATTGCATGTAATTGCCTAAAGATCAACAAATGTCTTAAGTCTTATAGATAAAACATACCAAGGGAGTATGTTTTATCTATGGCCTTATGTCTTAATCTACCAGGCTGCGGCCTTGGCACATGGCAGACAAAACATTCAAAAAACATTGATTATTTATCTCTAAAGAGGGAGATTATCAATGCTAATAACTAATTATTTGAGTTATACATGTTTTGGGAGTATTGTTATGAAACCAATGAAAAATGAAAGAAAAAACAAATTCATTCTGAAGGATATACAAGATTATTATTTTTGTGTTTGGGATTGGTGGCTTACAGAAAATATTGTGAGCTATTATATATAATGCTCATAATCAATACTAAAATAACCGCTTAATCTTATTGCTTTTTCAAGTAGCGCTGCTTCTGCTTGCACTCTATACTCTATGCATTTAAAAGCGCGGTAATACAATGAAATTGTCCAATAGAACAGAAGGCTCCAGGCAGAATGATAACCCCAAATTATTTTGTATTTGAAATGTTTACAGCTGTTTTTATTTTGTTTTCTCCGTCTCCACTGTCCGTTTAGAATTTAGATTAACAATTTTATTTGTTTTGTGCCATTATGTAGCCTAGTTGTTAGGAATTAAAATTCCATACAGGATTTATGAAGAGTACGAAACAAGAATTAATAATTATCTTTGCCCAGTCGGAAACAGTGTCATTGTTCATAGACTTGTTCTTTAATGTGTGTTTGGACTGTTTGGAGCACTTTATTAAAGAATCAAACTTTTCTTTTAAGGACTAAGATACGCGTGTCAGTGTATTGTTTTCGTAGTAAGTATTTAGGTTCAAGATTTGAATATTTGAACTCAAGTGACAAGCGTGAAGACATCGAAATGTCTTTAGGTAAGTTAGGCCTATTTTTTTAATGATTATGTTTGGTAAATGTAAATTAAGTTAGAGCTTTCTCTTTTATATTTTAATTGGCTCTATGTCAACTTTCCTACGCCTACTTTTTAAATAAGTTAACAAATCGAGCATTAAGTTAGTCGTGTGAAGACTAGCCTACATTTCTGAAATCAAATTTAACATTGTTCAATTTGGTTGTTAGCTTGAGACCTTTGCCTTCTGCTACCTAACTTATAAGTTTTCAAATTGTATGTTTTAAGTAAACGTGAGATCCTACAAGTTTACGTATAGGCTACATTTAGCCTAGGCCTACATAACTTAAGTTTCCTAATGTTCAAGGCCTAAGTTACAAGCTTACAGGTTTTCAGATGCTGAATCCGAAAATGCAATCATTTTTAGTCAGAAATTATTCTAAGTGTCCAAAAAACAAAACCAAAGACAACAGTTTTAAGGATCATTGAGCGATGGTGATTTAGGCGAGTCCAAGTTCTAGTGACACTAATACTTGAAGGGGATGAAGGTTTGTGAAGAGCAAACGGCTGTACTATTAACTTGCATGCAATTAAATTAACTGAATCTATCAACGAACACAAATATAACCTAAACAACGAATAGGAAAGCAATGCTCAATTACACTCTCACACACATAGGTACACTATTACAAGAAATTGACGATTCCCCTGTCTACAAGGACGGCGGAGAAGACATCGATGGTAAATGGTAAATGGTAAAAATCAACAAAACTGTAACACAACAGCATGTAAAATGTAACTTTTTTAAACAAACTTTTGTAGTGATTTATAGACATAGCCTACAATAAGTGTACTTATTACTGAAGTGTGAATGTGTATCCTATACTTAACTTAGTAAAACTGTTGTAATCAAACCTAACCTCACCTCTGGAACAATTCAAAATCCTATTTGATGACAGAAAAGACGGTGAAAGTAGCCTATAAGTTATCAAACTTTCATCCAATATTTGTTATCAAATTATGATAAATATTTTTAAGTACCGTATAAGTTAAAATTGAAATTTCATCTGATAATAAGTTAACTTATATTGTAAGTTCTCTGCAGGACTGTTCCTTAAGTTAATGGTTTTTAGCTTGTTATAGAAAAAGAAATTTTTCAACTGAAGACTAGTAGGGCCTACATGTAAGTTAGAAATTGTAAACAGAACCCTTAACTTAGGCCTATTCTTGTTATGCCAGTAGCGTTTCTCTGTGTTTTCAAGTTCCCTTTGACCTTTGGGCTATTGATTCGGCCCTCAGTTTTTCATGTGCCTTAATGTTTTATTTTTGAGCCAAACCCGTAGGCCTACATTTTATTTTTAAATTGTTTTTAAGTGGGCGGAGATGTTCGCCACTCAGCCGAAGAAATGGATGAAATTCGGCAGAAACAAGTTGCTTATGAATACCTTTGCCACCTGGAAGAGGCAAGAAAGTAAGTTTTTAACTTAGAATTGTGCATAATCTAGTAGGCAATGGAAAGCTACATAGCTACCATTTTGCATACCGGTAATAATGTTCTTCTTTATGATAACAGAATCAATTTGTCAATTAAGTTAATATTATTAATAAATAATATACTGTGTATCAATAATTAGACTAGGCTATCTCTTCTCTAATAAGTAAAGCAGTTTTAATCATTAAGGCAGCAAACATAATTCAGCTTTTAAGATTAATTTATTCATATTATTTCAATTGCCTGAGGTCCGTGTGAGTTACAATAAATTACCTAGTCTAGTAAACTTAATACTGTACCGGTACTGTAAACTCAATAATTCAATACTAAAGAGTAGGATAACTCACATAACAGTTTTTTATTTTTATTTTTAAGCCTACACATACCTATTATTTTTACTTTTATGTAGGCCTACATCCCTACAAAGTATTGGTTTTAGCAGCATTATATTAAATAATCCACAGCAAAATCACTTCATGGCTATGTTTCTTGATAGAATAAGGTAAAGTTTCAAAAAGAATGAATTCATTTCTTAAAATAAATACATCTTCCTTAAAAAATAAGGTTGCCAACAACACAGAAATACAATAAAATAGCTTCCTTGTCTATTAACTTGTTTATCTTTTAAGATGGATGGAGGCTGTGCTTCGCGAAGAACTTCCACCTTGCACAGAACTAGAAGAATATCTGAGGAATGGAGTCATTTTAGCAAAATTAGGAAACATTATTGCTCCAGAAACTGTTCCGAAGAACCGCATTTACGATCAAGACCTAAAGCGGTACCGGGCTGCAGGTCTCCATTTTCGTCACACCGACAATATAAACTATTGGATCAAGTCATTAAAGACTGTAAAATTGCCATTGGTAGGTGTTGCTAGAGAATGTAGTATAAAAACTAACTGCCATAGGCCTACCTATTTACTTTCCACTCAATGCAACATGATTAATTTTTTATTTGTTAAGGGCCTATTTGTAAGGAAGGTTATACAAATATTGAGCTTTTCATTGACTACTGTATAGGCACAGAGGAAACATTCTTATGGAACAATCGTGCGCTTTTATCTCGGGTATGGTGGGGCGGAAATATACTAGTACTGAGCAAGGACAGCAGTTGTAGCCCACAGGCTAAAGAGAGCGGAAGGGGACGACCAATAGAATTTGCACTAGACACAAGCGACTGGTGCTAGATACTACTTTAGCGTACCATTGAATGTTTCCTCTGTATCTTACTTGTCTGTACTATAGGTAGGCCTAATAATAAATCAAATTAACTGGTGTCACATTATGTATGATTTACTATTTTAAGTAAATTCTAAAAATTTCTCTGTGAGGTTCAAGAAGATCACCAATAAAATAAACCCTTACTTAATAATGGCTGGTGGTGTATAGACATTCTGCATACATATCTTGGATTATTTCAGTATTAAACTTTCTACTATTAATACAATTTCAGTATCCAAAAGTTAATAATATTTTGTTTTGGATGTTATGCGTAGTAAATAGTTGTAACATCTGGTATGTTTGCAGACATTCCAACCTGAAACAACTGATGTGTATGACAAGAAGAACATGCCTCGAGTAATATACTGTGTGCACGCCCTTAGCTCACACTTGTTCAAACTGGGGAAGGCACCTCAGATACAGGATCTGTATGGGAAAATCACATTTACAGGTAACATATAAGTTGTCAAAAAATAATCTAGAGAAGTAGTTAAATTTCCCGCTACAGCAAACCTGCAGACTAAGGACAATGATGATGTCTACAACACTATGGAAGATCTTCAAGATTTTGCCACGATCACGAAAGACAATAATATATTTCTGTGATTACGGAGATGACGATGATGTCTACCCGTCTGCGGAAGATGTTCAGGATTATTACACACGACCACAAAAGACGATGATGATGTTTTTGTGTCCACGGGAATAGACAATGATAGATATCTACACAACCCCAGGAAATATTTAGAATTTTGCTGTATTTAATTGCCAGCCTTCCAGGAGATAGGAGGTTTGTTGGCCAAGGAGCTACCCGGGGACTCTGCTGCTCTACATGCTGCTGTCATAGTCATCAACCAGACAGTTGTATTGTATGTCGGTGTTGTAGATGAGGAGATCACAGTGATGAGCAGTGAACTACAGAAGTACGGAGTACAGTTGCCTGCCTTCCAGAAGATAGGAGGTTTGTTGGCCAAGGAGCTACCCGGGGACTCTGCTGCTCTACATGCTGCTGTCATAGCCATCAACCAGACAGTTGTATTGTATGTTGGTGTTGTAGATGAGGAGATCACAGTGATGAGCAGTGAACTACAGAAGTACGGAGTACAGTTGCCAGCCTTCCAGAAGATAGGAGGTTTGTTGGCCAAGGAGCTACCCGGGGACTCTGCTGCTCTACATGCTGCTGTCATAGCCATCAACCAAGCCGTGGATGCTGAGGTGGGTGTAACATGTTGAAGTACTTGCCTGGGAACCCACTCAACCACGATAGCTTTTGTTAACTCTGCTTTAAAACACTAACAGGTTGTGAATCTATATATTAAAAATTATCGGGTTTTCTTTTCCGAGTCCGTCTTCCTCTTCTACCCGACTGAGTTTCATGATTTTGGTCTTAAATTAAAGGTATGCATGCGTAGATTTGCCATCAAGCATCGGCATTCATTTATCTGACGTATTACTCGAGTTATGCACAAACGTAATTTGCTCCCTGTACATTTCTTATAGGAGATAAATTTGTTTTTTCTTTTCTGAGTCCGTTCGGCTCTTCTACCCGACCGATTTTCATAATTTTGGTCTTAAATTAAAGGTATGCACGCGTAGATTTGCCATCAAGCATCAGCATTCATTTATCTACAGTATTACTTGACCAAAAAACATAAACTAGATTTTTTTTTAATTGTTACTTCAATTGAAGATATATTTCCTCAGTTATAATTACGTAATCCTATATGTTTTGGTCTAAGAACCTTCAGTGAAATACCAGCTTTCATTTGAGCCCTTGATTATTAAGATCGGACGTACCTGAAGCGCGCTGCTGAATTCCAAACAATAAAAAATTTAACTATTTTGGGATTTACCGACGACCAGTGAGTTCATTTGGCTCTTCTACCCGACCGATTTAATGATTGCCATTAGCTGTATGGGCTATTAATCAACAGCTGTGTCTAAGGAATAAGTCGGCCTTAGTCACAAACAAGACTACAAGATCGTGTCACTCATCCTACACTTATCTCCATACCTACTTTGCCATGGTGAACATATTTTAACTGATTTTTTTATCGGCCGATAAAAAAATCAACCTTGTGCGCTTAGCCTAAGTGAAAAGTGAATCAATACATAGACCTATACATCTGAAAGATTTTTAGAGACAGTATATGAGTGAAAATTTAAAAACGTACGTTTTCATGTCCCTGGCCTTTTACTTCGTAGATACTGGATTTGTAGTTTATTATTATGTGTTTTAATATTTTTTGGGACGGGGGCAACATGTTACACACATTTATTTGGTTTTAAATAGGTTCTAGGTATTTTTTTCGTATTTTTTAAGTCTCGAAATTCACGACCATGACGTGTCCCTAGGGTACATTTTCCAACTTTCACGCTGTTTTTAGACTAATTATTCATGCCGAAATATATAAAGCCATATTTTTATGTCATCAATGGTTATTAAACTTACAAAAAAGGAGCATATTATAATTTTATTGTCATTGCAAACTGACTACCATGACAAAATAAGTCTGTCCCTCGATTTGGCGTCACGACCATTTGGGGAAAATTTTCAACTTTGGAGCACGACAGTGGCAAGCCTGGCGTCGATGGAGTCAGTTGGTTTTAGAGACTAGTTCGGGGTGTACGTCAGGATTGTAGTGCCGGTCGTTTCGACTTGAAAGGAGGAATTACAAGATTAATAAAGGAAAGATTGTGTTTTTTGTAATTTTGGTGTGTCCATGACCGTACGTAGTCATTCGATGAAGTAGACATGGTGTTATTTTTTGTTTATAAGATATTTCAATTGCTAGATTAACCTAGAAGTCCACTTTGTATCCTTGAACATGAGGTGCAGGGCTACCGCAAGAACAGAGCCAAATAACACAAAATTTCACGACCAAAGTTTCACGACCATCGTGGTTTTTTCACGACCAATCCAGCCTTATGGATTATAGTGTGTTTGGTCGTGACAATAACTTTAATATAATTGTAAATTGAACAGTTTAGTTCAATTGAAACACATAATTTTATTATATCTAACAGTATAATTGAAGGATTGTTTAGAAAGATTTAGATTATTCCAGACAATTCACGACCGTACCACTTGTCCCTGACCATCACGTTTATGATTTCTATCATAAAAAATTCAAAAATTAAAATATCGTCATATTTCAATGTTTTATACACAAAAGAAGCACACCTCTATACAAACATAACGATTTTTCGGGTCTCTGGTAAGTTTTTTCGGAGTTATACAAACTTAAAAAGATTTTATTGGCTTTTTTCAATTTTTTGAGTTTTTTTCTTTTTTTCTAGAAAGACCAAATATACCAAAAGCTCAGTGACCTTTTTATTGTATAATGGTCATAAAAGTAAATTAGTTTATAGCAAAACATAGTTATAAAAATAATATTAACTATTTTTAATATTCATTTAAACGTCCGTTATGGTCGTGACAGGATTTTGTGTTTTTCCACTAAAGATGCTCTTTAAAAAAAAAACTACCAAAGATATTGCGTTACCATGGACATTTTATGAAACTTCAAATGTTAATAAAATAAAAAAAATAATAAAAGTTTTGAAAAAAGGGGAAAAAATTTGCAAAGTGCTTTTCCTGAAAACGTACGTTTTTAAATTTTCACTCATATAGCCTACAGTATAGAGTTGAAAATCCGAACGTCAAAAATCCTAAACGTCAAAAATCCGAACTGCTCCTGAGGTTTTAAAAATATTGAATTAGCACAGAGACAACAGATGTTTTACAATTTCGCGGGCCAAACAGTCGGTTGGCAGGGAAATGAGTGAACACGCCGAGCCAGTCTGTTTTGTTTGTTTCCAATGTATAAGCTCTACATATTTTTTCAAGAAACGAATTCCCCAGTTATATAACGAAAATACCTAAGTACAAAAATCATTATTTTTATTTCATTCACTGTATCTTAGAACTGTATTTTTAATACTGTAGGCATAATTATGTGTCTATTAGGCATTTCTAGGCTATGTTTGAAAATCCTAACAAATCGGTAATCTGAACTACCTACGGTCCCAATTGGTTCGGATTTTTGACTCTCTACTGTATTGCAAGGTCATAACACTGTCAGGAAAGTCTTAAGTCAAAAAACCTAATACAATAATTATGCCTGTAAAAGCAAGGGATCAGTGTTTGAAACTTTGTTAAAATCCTATCTTGACAAATGAAAATCTGAGCCTTGTCACAGCTTGCTTCATGATTCAATTTATTTGCTCTCTTGACTATCACCTGTATGATCTTGGTCTAGTACAACGACATGTTTGGTATCATCAAGGTAATCATGTATCTTTGGTATCTGGGGAGCGAGCTGGCGTAGTGGTTAGAGCACGGGACTTCAGTCCCTGAGGTCCCGGGTTCGATCCCCGCCAAGTCACCAATGGATTTTATCTAAGTGATAATGCGCAACTCTTAGGTCTAGCCTGAAGTAATGTGAAAAACAATCCCAGGCTCGTGCCTAGCGTCCTTGGACAAAAAAAGTAGGTAATCATGTAAATCCTTGTCCCCTAAGCCGCAAAAGTGCTTCTGTTGCTTAAAACTATTGTCCTTTGAGTTGTGGGCACAAACCAACATTCTTATTTCAGCCTATTCAAACATAAAAAGTTAGTTAAACAGATAAAGACAATTAGATACATTATGATAATAACGATTTCAATCATTGGGCCCAATGGGCCCAATTTACTCATGTATCTTTTAATGTATAATGTTTATAGGATTCAATGTAATGTTTACAGGATTCACAAGCACTGTTAACGAGTTTACAAAATAGAAATGCCAAGCTGGAGTTTGTTTTGACTGAATATTTAGAGAAATATGCTGCAACATTGAAAACAGCAAAGGCAGCCAAAGTGGAAGCTGCATTGAATAGGGTAAGATACAGAATCAACTAGGTTCCTAGAATAGCCAGCCTCTGTTGTTTAAGAATAAATTTATACACTTTGAACTCCAGTATAGTTAATTAATCATCATGCTATGCAGAAATTAATCTTTGTTCAACTATTCACATTAAACTGTGTTAGAAAAGTTGAGGTATAGCTAAAGGTATAGAAAAGTTGTGTTAGAGGTATAGATTAATTGTTTTTTAACTAGTTTTAAATAGTGTTAGTTATATTAAATGATAGGTTTTCTGATAACATTCAATTTGTGTTTCTTACTGATTTGATTCAACACGTTAAAAAACTGATTTGATGCGATAAACGTAATAAAATTATAGTACAGGAAATCAGTTTAAAATTATGCTAAATTATGTATGAACATTAATGTTTTATTGAAATTTGTAGTCCCTGAATGATAGCTACGTTGCTGATGTATACGACGAACTGCTCACTCAAGCCGAACTTCAGGGACATATAAACTCTGTCAATGGTAAGAACTTTTGTTTTATGATGTATAATTTTGGGTTGAAAAGAATATATTTCATCCTCTGAATCATGTTTTTTTAACACATGGTTTTAATCAGAGTAAATGCCAGTAGATTAAGGTTAAGTTTAGAATACTGTTATTGTCTTTAAAAGACTATTACACAAATTTGGGATCTAAAATCTGATCCTGCCTCAGGTGAAAAAGTTCCTAAAAATAAAGAAATGTGTAGACCTCAAAGAAAACTGTATGGTTGTCAAAACAAGAAATAACAAATCCGGAAAGGACACAATTTTAGTAGTCCACAAGTAGACACAGGTTTTACCATTTAACACCAAAATAAACTTAAAACAAGGAATATCAGCATTTAGTTCCCTTTGTTTTATAAGCATGTTTCTTTATTTTTCAGTTGGCCAGAAGTGGAATGAGGTTCTGGACATTGTTGCTCAGAACGACCCTGACCGGATGTCGTCTGCATTGGCGTCTCCTTGCCTTCAACTCATGGTGGGTCATGTAGCAATGCTTCAATTATGCAACTATTCTAGCAACCTTAAGGATTATTTAAACTATGTCAAGTGAAAGAAAACTTTAAGTTAAACAAATTTAGATATCTTAGTTAGTCTTTTAGTCCTTTGAGAGCTTTGAAGGCTTCTCTAAGAAGGTGCTCACTTAGGATTGGGAGGTTTTTATTTAGTTTTTTTTTTAGTGTAAGTAGAGCTTAAACCTCATAGTACTTTAGGTACTCATAGATAGGCCTACTCAAACAAAGGTCACACAATTTAACATTGATTAAGTTACTAAGATCTAGCTACGCAGTTGCCTTGTAAGGTGTCAAATATAATAATTTCATGTTTAAAATGTTTTAAGTATTTGTGTGAAGGCTCATCTTTAGCAGCATAAATATCTGACAAGCATCGCTCAATGAGATTTATGTTAAATTAGTAGTGATGGTCGGATCCGGATATCGGACTACCGGATCCGCCGGATCCGAGCTAGAACCGGTACCGGATCGGATCCAAAAAATTCCGGATCTTGGGCTGGATCCGGTTTTGATGGATCCGATTTTTTGAAATTGTTTCCCGATTTTTTTACTAACACAAAGCTGTCTGTATCACTGTACAACCACCATTTTTTTACTAGCACAAAGCTGTCTGTATCACTGTACAACCCCGGTTTGTTTACTAAAATAAAGCTGTCTGTATCACTGTACAACTCTGATTTGTTTACTAAAATAAAGCTGTCTGTATCCATGTAAGAGACCGACTTCCCCCCGATTTTTTTACCAACACAAAGCTGTCTGTATCACTGTACAAGTGTACAACCCCGATTTTTTACCAACATAAAGCAGTCTGTATCACTGTACAACCTCGATTTGTTTACTAACACAAAGCTGTCTGTATCACTGTACAACCCCGATTTTTTTAATAACACAAAGCTGTCTGTATCACTGTACAACCCCGATTTTTTTACTAACACAAAGCTGTCTGTATCACTGTACAACCACGATTTTTTTACTACCACAAAGCTGCCTGTATCACTGTACAACCCCGATTTTTTTACCAACATTAAGCTGTCTGTATCCATGTAAGAGACCGATTTCCCCAAGATTCGTTTACTAACACAAAGCTGTCTGTATCCATGTACAAGACCGTTTTTCCCCCAAGTGTTTGTCTCTTGATGCAAATAACTTATATGGCAAGGCCATGTCGCGATGTTTGTCTCTAGATGCAAATAACTTATATGGCTATTCCATGTCTCGATGATTGTCTCTAGATGCAAATAACTTATATGGCAAGGCCATGACTCAGTGTTTGTCTTTTGATGCAAATAACTTATATGGCAAGGCCATGACTCAGTGTTTGTCTTTTGATGCAAATAACTTATATGGCAAGGCCATGACTCAGTGTTTGTCTCTTGATCTAAATAACTTATATGGCAAAGCCATTTCTCAATTGAATTTGAAACAGTATGATTTAAATTGGCATTCTGTTAATTACGTTTTTTTACCCGCCCTTATGACAGTGTGTATCCGGATCCGAAGATCCGGATCCGAATTTTTCAAGATCCGGATCCGGATCCGGTACCGACATTTTCTTGGATACGCCCATCACTATAAATTAGTGAATGCTGCTGAAGATGAGTTCAAAACGTACAGAATGAAATGACTACATTTCACGCCTTATTGCAACTATGTAAGTTGATCTTCATCTTGTTATTGAATATCAGGGAGGGTCAAGGTTATCAATTAAAAATAACATTGAAATTTTGTTCTAGTAGGCCTTATGAAACTTTTTTGCATTGGTCATTAAGGAATGAATTTTAGTGCATTGATGGATCAGAAGTAAACATTCTAAACTGTGTTTTTCAGCCCAGACGGAATTGGGTTTGATTGATTACCTTTTTGTTGCAGAATGTGGAACAGACAAACGGTCAGTTTTATGAGGAAGGTTTACGATGTCTAGTGGAGAGTGGCAACTGGATAGAATACGAAGAAAGTTCCGAGTGGCGCAAGGTGATGCAGGAAATCGTTAATAATGGAAACATCAGTGCTCTGACACATCGAAGACGTAAGTTTACGCACTGAAACATTCAGCTACTGCGCTGGTAAAAAGTATTGGTATGACACGAGGCATAATAATATTGTGAATATGAGTTTACAGGTTTCTATAATGTTTGCTCTAGACCAACTTAAATCTTGAACTACAAAAATCATGTTTAGACGTAAAAAAAATTCATCTCTAAAATTATTTGTATTGTCGTGTGTTACTTTTACTTGAGTTATATGGTTTGTCAAAATATTGATTTTACTCAGATCTCGTAACTGATATTTACCTAAACTTCAATGATTCTTAAACTGAAATCCACATGACATATACTTTTTAATATGAAATTTAAATTTTGTATTAACAAACAAAGTTATGTAATGATTGATTTTATGAATCAGGAAGATATATTTGTGATATATTTGTGTACACTGTACAGGGACAGCAGCTGTAGTTAGAGTCAATGAAGAGCTTGCTGGGGGCTCTGTGGACGGGTTGTTAGCAGCTCTGAGTAACCCAGCACTAGACATAGACTCTGAACTACTCACTGAGTTTGCTGCCCCTCTCTACTGGGAAGAGATGGTTGCTGACAGAATGGACTGTGGTCACGATCTCACCCTGCAGGTTTGTGAATAAATCTTTCTCATCCCACTGATTCACTAAATACTAAATAATCATAGAAACATATTATATATCTTATGCAATAGTAGTGTATGGAGGCACTTCCCAGAAAAATTTAGATAAGATACTTGTTTTACAGAAAAAGGCAATAAGAATAATGTTAAATCTAGATTATAATGAGTCTGTAAAGCAACATTTTCTCAATTTGAAACGTACTGGAATGTATCATACATGGAAAAAATAACCAGGAAAAATTTAAAACACATTGTGAAACCCATCAATACAACACTAGAAACAAAAAAATATAGTTCTACCTAAACACAACTTAGAAATGTATAAAAATAAGCCCTCATGTGCCGGTGTAAAGTTTTTAAAGATAATACCAAATGAAATAAAAGATATTAAGGATAAAAAAAAGTTTAGACAAAAACTTAAAGAATTTTTGATAGAAAAACCCACCTACTCAATAGATGAACTTTTTATGAATGTATACAGCTATAGATAGTTTTGTTTTCTGTATTTTTTGTTTAGGTTAAGTATTTGTACATAGTAATTATAAGCTTGACACTATTTATTGTATGTTTTGTACATAATATAAATAAAGATAATTTGAATTTGAATTATTATTTGTGAAGGCTCTAGGCCAAAACAGGTTTCATTGTGTTTTTTATAGGAAGAGTAGGCTCAACTGTACAGTAGGCATGTCTTCTCAATAGGGATACATTTAAAATTTATGCACACACAGAAAATTGAGACATTTCATAGTCTCTGACCACTTTGACAATCACATTAAAGTAGCGAACATGAAATATTTTAATTTTGTATTTATTAGTACCTATCACGTTACTAGTCCGGAAAATATAAGGCTATGGAAAACACATTTTGGACAAGTGACATACAATATTTTCCGTCATACTACTCTAAAGTAACCTAACAATAAATCAAATGTACAAATCCGTTACATGCTCCCACCAACAAATGAACTTAATAACCACTACTCATGACTTCTAAGTAGGGATGGACGGGTCCCGAAATTTCGGGAATTTTTCGGGAAAAAAATATTCCCGATTATCGGGACGGGATTACATTTGACTCGGGAATTTTTCGGGACGGGATTTGGTCCGATCGTCGGCGATTTTTCCGCTTCGCGAGTGCCGATAACGCCGTTATTGCGAGCGATAGGTCCGCGAACGCAGGAGACGAAGTCATTTCGACGATTATGCCGTGACCGCGGAGTCCTACCGACGACCGCGCCGTGACCGCGAGTCATACCGACGATCGCGCCGTGACCGTTGAGTCCTACCGACGATCGCGCCGTGACCGCGGAGTCCTACCGACGATCGCGCCGTGACCGCGAGTCATACCGACGATCGCGTCGTGACCGCGAGTCATACCGACGATAACCCCGTGACCGCGGAGTCATACCGACGATCGCGCCGTGACCGCAAGTCATACCGACGATCGCGCCGTGACCGCGGAGTCCTACCGACGATCGCGCCGTGACCGCGGAGTCATACTGACGATCATGCCGTGATGGCGGAGTCATGCTGACGATCGAGCCGTGATCGCGAGTCATACCGACGATCATGCCGTGACCGCGAGTCATACCGACGATAACCCCGTGACCGCGGAGTCATACCGACGATCGCGCCGTGACCGCAAGTCATACCGACGATCGCGCCGTGACCGCGAGTCATACCGACGATCGCGCCGTGACCGTGGAATCATACCGACGATAACCCCGTGACCGCGAGTCATGACGACGATCGCGCCGTGACCGCGAGTCATGACGACGATCGCGCCGTGACCGCGAGTCATACAGACGATCACCCCGTGACCCGCGAGTCACAAGTTTCTATAGGTACCTGTAAATTGTTACCCATTTTTTGGTTTTTATAGATCAGTGCCACAAATGGTAAAAATTGATTTCTTATGTCTTTTTTGGTAACTGCAATACAGTACTTTCGTTTTATGCACAGAAAAAAATCCCGTCCCGTCCCGTCCCGAAAATCGGGAAGGAAATAAAAATCCCGTCCCGTCCCGTCCCGAACTAAAAATTCAATCCCGTCCATCCCTACTTCTAAGGGAAGTTATGGTTTTGTTTATAACCTCTCATTGAAAATGATTGTGATTCAACAACTCATTGTACTAACCACTCATTGTATAATCAGCTGGCGTCTGGTAAAAATTCATTACAGTACAGTAAGTAATAAAATCCCATTTGAAAACAGGTGGTAGACAGCTGTTTTCCGGACTAAATCCTTGCGTGGCAAGTCCATTAAAGCAGTGTAATGTGGCAAAAAAGTGTTTTCTATTGAGAAAATACCCACTAAAGTTGATCATACGATTTCAGGACATCAAGACAAGTGTTAGAGTTCTGTCCCAGATTGCAGCTCTCTCCAGTGCTTTAGACTCCAAGAGCCACGACCGCATATGGACTAAACTCATGGACCTGTCAGCTATACTGCGGTTTGAGGTTAGTTGGATACTGACGTTTTTGTAAATGCATTCCATAATATTTTAGGGATGCTTGTAAATATTGATAATCACTACAAAGTGACTCAATAGATATTCAAATTAAAATCAATAAGAAAAAAATATTTGGAATACAGTAGGCCCATGTTATTAATGTAATAATAAATGTAATAATAATAATTAATGTATAATTGTTATACATTTTTCCAGAAAATTACCAAAGATGTGGTTCAAAATTAAAGTCGATTGGAAAAGCTAGTTTTGTTATCAATGAAGCCCAAGCCTATCTTGGAGACTTAAAAGTTCAAACATACCCCAACACAGGAAACCTGGAGCATAATCAGTTTTTCCAGACACTTTATCAAATTTGAATTTAAATAGGTTTATGGAAAAAATACTTTGATATCCATCCACAGAACGAATGATGGCTGAAAGAGTACCTTCTCATATTTACTCCTTCGTGGAACATAAAAAATCGTTGTTTGGATTAGGTACATTAAAAAAACCCACAATGTAATAAAATTTTTTTGAAAATTCACAGATCGATATTTCAAGCAATTTACAGCATTGAATTTACCACCAATAAAGATAACATACTGTTTACCACTTTTAATAACTTGACAGCCTAAAGCTGTTGGATAAAATGTAGGATACTACTAAATTGTTGTCTTTTGACTGCTGAAATGAATGAATAAATAGTGTGTTTGAAACTCTCGAATCAAGGTGGCTTCAAAGGATCCCAAAATGATACGTGTTACCAACTCTAGTCTTGCCATCACGGTGAAGACTATTTAATAGTAACTTGAATGGAGAGGAAAAGGAAAATTTGCCATGGATAAAAATTACGCTGTTGATTTCCACTAAGGGAGTGTTTTATGTGTGTTGCAGGGACTGGACCCGTCACTGCAGACTCAGTATTGCAAGGGACTGATTGCTGGTCGCAACTACAAACTGTTAGAGAACATAGAATGCACCATTCTCAACTCTGCTGATGTGCAGGACTGTATACGTCTGGTCAACTCCACCTACGAGGAGAACAAGCGAAGTAAGCCATGAGAATGAGTTGTTATTCATTTCTACAAGTTGAAAATGTCAATTTGAACCAGGTCTTATTGATTTAAAATAATTAATTTGTTTAACTAGGTTGTTAACTTGTACTTTGTTAAAATTGAGAATATCATCAATTCGGAAGAATTTTTTGAGAGTAATGAAGATAACGGTATGCTCGTGGGTGTTTCTGTGATCGCGAATGACAATCACTTTGCCTGCAGAGACGGCAAGTGTCAATTTCCAAGAATCAGAAAAATCTGTTTTCTGAACACTCCCAATCCCCAATTTATTGTTTAGGATAATCGACTTTCTTTTGTAATATATTTTCTGAGTTTTCAATTTTCTGATTTATGAACCTGTTGTAGTGATAGACTGTCTGCAGTGTTTGAACACAGCTGTGAGAGAGAGATCTCAGACTAGGCTGTGGGATTGTCTACAAGACCCTACACTACATCTGGCTGACAGAACTACGCTACATGACAGTGATCTGCCTCTTATACTCAACCTGTTGCAGGTAATTCTTTCATTTTGATATTTTATAATATGTAATGGACGGGTTTATACTTCTAGCTCAGTATGCAACAGGATTTTTATTTCCATCTTGGTTTTTGAGACAGGGATAGGACAACATTTTTCTCCCAAGATAAAATTCGTTATTTTTTTAATTTTTGCAAATGACAATAATGACATACATAATCAATTTGCTGTCCCTGTAGTGTTTAAGCTCCTGATACCAGTAAAAAGAAGTACTGTATTTGCTTTGTAATTATAAATTTTGTAATGTGTGTCTATCGCACGTCATCAGGACTACAATCCATGATCACAGGGACATTACCCAGAGTAATTGTGAACATGTCTACGATAATGGATCTTGGATCCACATCATTATTCATTATTATTGCAAAAAAAATTATGGGCATCTCCTGTGATTGCAGCAACATATTGAACATCTTCCGCAATCAAGGAGTAATCATGAACATGTCCAGGGCTTATGGCGACATGGTGAACTAAATCTATGATCACGTGATCACGGTACCATTGTGAACATATTCCATGATCACGGTTCCATTGTGAATATATCCTGCGATCATGGCGCCATCATGGATATGTCCAACAACTCACCGCAACATCGTGACCATATTTGTTGATCACGGCACCACTGTCACACAAAACGTACTACTATAACCCAGAATGCCAACCGCATCGTAAAAAGTAAAAAGCCTTAAGCGTTTTGAGAGAGCTTTGCCTGTCAATCCGTAGGCAGCGCCACCAGCGTTGCCATGCAATAGCATAGCAACGCTGGTGGCGCTGCCTACGGATTGACAGGCAAAGCTCTCTCAAAACACTTAATGCTTTTTACCATGCAGTTGGCATTCTGGGTTATAGTAGTACGTTTTCAGTGCCACTGTGAACATGTCCTGCGATCACGGCACCATCATGAACATGTCCAACCACTCGCAGCATTGTGAACATATTTCGTGATCATGTCTCCATTGTGAACATGTATTGCGATCACAGTGCCATCATTAACAAGTCCTGTGTTGGAGTGGACATCATCATCACCCTTTGTATTGGCGACATCTACCACAGTTGAGGAAACAACATCATGAACACTGGCAACCCAGTGAATTCGCCAACAGTTGGAATAAATTCCCTCCTGAGAAAATCCCGATTTTAATGCATCCCTCGCCCAAGTCTTGGAATATTTTGTTTCCGAATATTTCAAAACCCATCCACTTCCAGTAGGTATAGTAGCTCCAGTAGGTAGTAGAGTAGCTGATCTCATAGAACTGCGATAACCAAGCTTTACTCAGGGTAAATTATCAAACTACATTTTTATAAACTTTGTCAAAACCAAAACCAATAGAAAATTAATTTGAATTAGGTTTATAGCTATACAAAATTAAAATGGGATTATACGTTTTCTGGGTTTATGTTGATTTGTTGTTGAATGTTTGTCTGTGCAGAACCGACTAGATGAGCAGGCGGAAGGGGTTGAGTTGTGGTTGGAAGATGTCAAGTCAGCTATCAGGGAAGCCCACAGTCTCATAGATGAGGCACAGACTGGTAATGTAACTATGGGTTGTTTATTTATTTTAGAAATGTGATGATATTTAGCACTATGAAATCTGTTGCAATTACAAAATACAAGGTAGGGAACTTCGTAAGTCAGTGAACACCATTTGATTTGTTGAACATTGCAGATGATAACAAAACTTATACATGTCAGTATTATATAAAAAAATCTTAATTTTGAAGCAAATATGCATTTTTCCATTATACCGAGTTGATTGGTAATCTTTAATCTTAATCTTAATTGAGAGCATACTGGTAGGTTGAATAGTACATTCAGTTAAACACCACTATTAGAGAACACATACACACTATACAGTGCCACAAACCAGACCCCAATAGGTTTATCTATCCAAAGTGGTGGGAGTAATAAACCCAAAAACTTGTGTAACCTAATGTTTCCAAAAAAGGAGTTAATCTGACATATTTGTGGAAATATTTTAGTGAAAATCTTATCAGGCAAATGTAAATTTGCTTAATCTGCCGGTTTTATGCAACAGGGGTATTTTAATATTTGATAGACACTGTCATTACAACAATAAATTAACAGGTCACAAACTCAAAGACAAAAAACGCACACAGCAATATACGTTTAACTTAATTTTGATTGTTTTCAAGTCACATTTTTTTCAATCGGATGTCTCTTGACAAGTTGTTGTATACTTGGTGAGGCCAAGTCACTGTTATGTTAGAAATAAATATATTTTTACATTTGGAATGTTTCTTTAAAGCAATTCTCCTCGTTCGGATGTGTTTGATATGGGCACTTACCTGTGTATAAAACACACAGGGCTGTTCATGTGTTATTGCTTAGTGTACAACTATTGTTAAGTTATTTTGAACAATCTTTATGGTTTTGTTACTTTAATTAGCTTTTGTACCACTTCTGTGGTTGATACTTTATTAGAGATATAAATGTAATCTCTCCTTCTTTGTAATGTTTTGATCTGTTGTCTAATGTTCCAGCTTGCAGATGGCTCAGCGAAGTGAATTCTGGACTGAGCAACAAAAACCGACATAAGGTACCGTAGTGCAACCTAGAATTGTGCACATCCATAAAAAATTAGATTAAATTCACTTCACTAGCAACGCCTTACTCTCGGTTTTGAAACATTATCTGAAGTTTTAGCCAAGGTCTGCAATTAATTTGTTGCTGAAAGAAAGATACATTCAGTTGAACTAAAGGGTATAACTCGTTAAAAAAATAAATTAAAATAATTATTATTATAGATATTACTTTTACAAAAATTAGTAAATAAAAGGTAGTTTATGAAGGAAATTGCAATTTTAAAGTTACTTTGTTACTGAATTATAAATCCTGTACAATACAAGATAGAAAGTTGAAAATGTATTAAATGTGTTCCACCAACTATTTCACTAGAATAGCTCTTGACAACTAATTTTGAGCCACACCTTTTAATAGTTTGAAAAACCACATCTTAAAATATTTAGTGTTTAAGATATATGATAAAAAGATAGAGCATTTTCCAAGGAAATTGACAGGAAAGTAGGCTTACCTTTAAATAAGTCCATAGAGACAAATAAAATATACAACACAAATGTAGAAATTTTCACTGGAGAAATGGCAATGGCAGTTGCAATTTGAATCTATTTCACCTTCTTATATTTAGGTATCTATACTTTATTTATAAAAGGCAAAGCCCTCACTGACTGACTGACTGACTGACTGACTCACTCACTCACTCACTCATCACTAATTCTCCCACTTCCCACTTACCTATGAGGCTGAAATTTGGTACACTGATTCTTTAGGCATTAAATAGGAAAACTAAGTGGTTTTTATTCTGATCGGACTCTCGGGCTCCGCCCCAGTGGCTCTGGAGTTTCCCATGTTAACCTAATGAGTTCTCATATTTAAATGGAAATAATGAATCATAACAGCTGTTTCAATTAAACAAGTTGGTTCTGTTCTATGATGTTCAATAGCATTAAAGTTACAAGAATTACCAACAGAGTGCAGCGCTATTATTTTTTTTTAATATTTGACAACAGCTAATTTGAAACTAAACCCGGAGGCGAGGTAGCGTAGCGAACGAGCTAACCTGAAGGCAAGTGAGCGCTGCGAACGAGCTCCAACCGTAAAGGTGAGTGAGCGTAGCGAACGAACTTCAACCAGGACGTGTGAGCGCAGCGAACGAGCTCCAACCTAAAGATGAATGAGCGTAGCGAACGAACTTCAACCAGGACGTGATTGACCCATGCGAATGAGCTCACATATGAAGTTAAACGGGGAAAGCCCGCGGGTACAGCTAGTTCAAATATATAGGTGAAATAGAATCAAATTGCAACTGCCATTGCCATTTCTCCAGTGGTTGAAGAAAATGTCTACTTTTGAGTTGTATATTTTATGAGTCTCTATGGACTTATTTAAAGTTAAGCCTGCAATCTAGTGTTTACAGGGTGTCTAGTAGTCGGGAAAATCGGGAAAGTCGGGAATTAGTCTTGAATTTCAAAATGGTCTTGAAAGTCGGGATTTAGTCTTAAATTTGATTTCAAAGTCGGGAATTTTCGTGATTTTGCCGCAATCGTCGTCTTGCGTTTACGTGACTGCAAAAGCCAATGATGATGTCTACACGGCCTCGGGAAATGTTCACGATTTTGCCGCAATAGTTGACGACGACTATGACGTTTCCGTGACCGCGGGAGATGACGATGACGTTTCAGTGACCGCGGGAGATGACGATGACGTTTCCGTGACCGCGGGAGACGACGATGACGTTTCCGTGACCGCTGGAGACGACGACGATGACGTTTCCGTGACCGCGGGAGACGACGATAATGTCTACACGGCCGCGGGAAATGTTCATGATTTTGCCGCGATCGCGGACGACAACGATGACGTTTCCGTGACCGCGGGAGACGACGATGATATCTGCTCGGCCGCGGGAAATGTTCATGATTTTGCCGTGATCGCGGACGATGACGATAACATTTCCGTGACCGCTGGAGATGACGGTGATGTCTAAACAGCCGCGGAAAATTTTCATGATTTTGTCACGATCGCGGACGACGACGATGACGTTTCCGTGACCGCGGGAGATAACGATGACGTTTCTGTGACCGCGGGAGACGACGATGATGTCTACACGGCCGCGGGAAATGTTCATGATTTTGCCGCGATCGCGGACGACAACGATGACGTTTCCGTGACCGCGGGAGATGACGATGATATCTGCTCGGCCGCGGGAAATGTTCATGATTTTGCCGTGATCGCGGACGATGACGATAACATTTCCGTGACCGCTGGAGATGACGGTGATGTCTAAACAGCCGCGGAAAATGTTCATGATTTTGTCACGATCGCGGGAGATGACGATGACGTTTCCGTGACCGCGGGAGATAACGATGACGTTTCCGTGACCGCGGGAGACGACGATGACGATTCCGTGACCGCGGGAGACGACTATGATATATGCTCGGCCGCTGGAAATGTTCATGAGTTTGTCGCGATCGCGGACGACGACGATGACGTTTCCGTGACCGCGGGAGATGACGATGACGTTTCCGTGACCGCGGGAGATGACGATGACGTTTCCGTGACCGCGGGAGACGACGATGACGTTTCCGTGACCGCGGGAGACGACGATGATGTCTACACGGCCGCGGGAAATGTTCATGATTTTGCCGCGATCGCAGACGATGACGTTTCTGAGACAGCGGGAGACGACGATGATGTCATTGATGTCTACAAGGCCGCGGGAAATGTTCATGATTTTGCCGTGATCGCGGACGACGACGATCACGTTGCTGTAACCGCTGCAGTCAATGATGATGTCTAAACGTACGGTACATGGAAGATTTCATGAAAAAAAAACAAATTTGCTAGTTAGAATTTTTTATTGCTGCATTATTTCTTTACTTGAAAACACCACATTATCATAATAATACTTTATGACAAAGACAGTGGTTGGTGTAGTGTTATTCAGAAAATTTGGTTAAGCTATAAAAATTGGTATCAGTATCAAGAATCGAGAATCGATACATTTTGGTATCAACACGCACTAATTGTTGAAAAAACTAGTCTTGAAAAATCTGGAATTAGTCTTGAAAAGTCTGGAATTAGTCTTGAATTTTATAATGGAAATAAACTAGACACCCTGTGTTTAAGATAAAGTGAGTTCTGTCTGATAATTTAATCCACTTCATTCCGCAACAGTAATTTTAATCATTAGTTTCAATAATTTATTTACAACATTGTAAATTCTTATGTGTGTTTGAGTTTTTATTTTGTGTTTGTAATTACAGGTAGTGGATGCTCTATGTAACATGCCTGGATATTCAGTGCAAGAGCCTTCACAATGTTACCAAAGACTACTGGCAGTCAAGTCTCAAAAGGTACAACTTTGATTTGATTTATTTATACACAGAAACAACCATTTTACATTGAGAGTTTCTTGGTGTTTGATACAAATATACATATTTAACATGCATGGCTTAATTAATTTGACTGAAAATAATATAATACGAGATGCTAGAATGAATTATTCAATTGAATTATTACATGCGATTGTGCATTAGAAAGATTGTATGCAATAAACGACAAAGAGTAACAAAAATTCATAGAGGATTTATAAATTAATAACTTATTATAAATATTTTAATGAAAATAACAGTGATAAATACTTAAAAAAATAATTTAAATTTTATTTATCAATGTTCATGTAATCTTATATCTTGCTCAGAATGCCGTTTTTCTTTATTACAATTAATTCAAATTGCACCAAAGTATTTCTATTAAATCATGTATGTGCTCTCTTTTTGTTCAGTATATAAAGTCTTTTACAGAACATTGTGGATATTTATAGGGATGCACTGTGGATGTGATGCTCCCTGGTGTGGATTAACGTCCGCGCTAGTGAGTACTAGGACTATCCGCAGTACTATCCTAATAATTAGACCAAATCGTTAATTACGAGGAAAAATGTGGTTCGGATTCCACAATAAACTGTAGGTCCCTTAGTTGCCATTAGCTGTATGGGCTATTAATTAACAGCTGTGTCTAAGGAACATGTCGGACTTAGTCACTAACAAGACTACAAGATCGGGCCACTCATCCTACACTCATCCTTCACTCATATTTGGGTTAAAATACGCACATAGTGGCGTCCCCATCTTAAATAATTGATTGATAATTGAATTGAACATGGTCGGCAAACCAGTTGTGAAAATTGAGGAAATGATTCACAGTTTGATATCCAGTTGTTTCATCTACTATGTTTAAATTTTTTTATTAACATGTACTTTTGTAATGCAATTTCTCTGCTACAGAGAGTTCAGTCCAAATGCACTTGGATCACTCACAGACTACAGTCTGGCCAGAATGTGTTCCTCAACTTGGATACTCTGGAGTGCAGCTGGACTCGACCTTACGGCTACAACAACCAGTCCTGCCACCTGGACTTTAGTGAGATCCAGGTATGATTAACTGTTTCACAGCCTGGTTAGTAGCCCAGAAAAGTATGTTGTTAGTCCATCAGAATCAGCTCTGGTCTCTGTATAATGCTGCAAAAGTCATTTTACCCTTTCCATTAGTTTGTTAGTTGGGGTGCAGCGGTTCTAAGAAGGCTGATCACCTAAGGATTTTAGCTATGTGATAAATCCTACAACTAGGTGGCTCATGATTTGTTTCTTCTAAAGTATATCTAATATTTCAGTTTCAGAGATAGCATTGAAGATTGCTTCACGAATGTGTAAATTGACAAACCTTATTATTGTTCTAAAGTTGGTTAATTTAAGAAAGGAGAGACGATAACTAATTTTATACATTTTGATGTGAATTAAATTGTTTTACACAGAACACAATAGAGGAGTACGAGAGGTCTGTAGTTCAAGCACGTAACCGCCATCATGTAGAGCGTAGCGTGATTCGTCTACAGGCCCGGTGTAGAGGCTATTTGGTGCGAAAACACATCAACGACCGTCTCCAACACTTCAGACACCACGAGCAACAAGTTGTCTCCATACAGGTAACATAGGATCTAGGTTTTCACAATGGCTTACCTGAATGAATAAAGTTCTGTTATTGATCCTGAATTTAAAAATATTTAACATCAGCTCGCTTGACAATGTTTTTATGTGTCTACTGGGTTGTCAGATTAAATTTCTATGATTCAGCTTAGCCTCTTAGAAAGTCACTTTACATCAAGGACAAAACGTCCGACAGTGAATTTCATCTGTTAATGTGGTTGAAACCAGTCATATAAGCACTAATACTAGTATGATGTCTGGAGGTTAAGTGTTACTTGGTTAATATTAACTATTACAGGTTTTACAGTACCGCGAGCAGGAACAGACTGATTGTGACTTGCAAATCAAGTGATTGCTGACTTTAAACCCTCCAACAGTCTGTTCCTGCCTGCATACCGACAATGTTGGATTTCTGTTGAGTGTATGTGTGTAATAAAAGAAACAGAGCTAATAATAAAATGTTTAGAAATAAGGTTACAGCTGCAAAAAAACTATATTATCAAAATAAAATAAACAACTCAAGTAACATGAACAAAACCAGCTGGCAAATTATTAACTCTGAAGTCGGTAAGGCAAAAGCAGATAACCACATTACTAGTGTTCATATTAACAATCAATGTTGTTCAGACCCTTATGTTATATGTAATTCATTTAACAATTATTTTACTGATTTGGTTGACACAAACATTGTTCCTAATTTGGATTCACTTGTTGGGGATGTAAAGGACAGTGTAAAAGTAGTTGAGTCAGATTATATAATTCCAGGTTTTCATTGTATACCTGTTGATGAGAAAGAGATAGACGAAATAATAAGTCATCTTAAAAACTCATTTAGCACCGGCTATGATGAGGTCCCTGTGGTGCTCATCAAAAAAGCAAAATTACCCCTCAGAAAACCTATAGCTCATTTAGTAAATTCTTCCTTTGTATCAGGCATTTTTCCTAATAAACTAAAAATTTCTAAATTAATTCCACTATTCAAAAAAGGAGATAGATATGAATTATCAAACTACCGTCCAATTGCTCTGCTTCCGGCCATGTCCAAAATATTTGAGAAAGCCATGTACAACCGTTTATATAGCTTCCTGGAAAGTAATCACCTTTTTGAGGACTGTCAACATGGATTTCGAAGTGGTAGATCAGTTGTGACAGCTGCTACAGAGTTTTTAGAGTCAGTTATTGATTGTTTAGATGCAAAACAAAAGGCTCTTGGCATTTTCATGGATTTAACCAAGGCATTTGACTCTATAAACCACAATCTACTTTTAAATAAATTGTCAAGCATCGGAGTAAAAAATAAATCTCTTCAATGGCTAGAATCATACATTTGTAATAGAAAACAATTTGTAGAAACTATCCAATTCAATAATCAAATGAAAATTACTCACAAGTCAAAAATTAGAACTATTAAACATGGTGTACCACAGGGATCCATCTTGGGTCCCCTTCTATTCATTTGCTATGTTACAAACCTACCAGGGCTGACTAAATCTAGCAAACTTTACCTTTATGCAGACGATGTAAATCTTACAGTTACCGCTAATTCTGAAGAGGAAATTGAAAAGACAGCTAATGCTAATCTAGATATACTTTCAAATTTTTTCCAAAACAATCAGTTACTTTTGAATCCAGATAAAACAAAGTTCATAAATTTTGAGACCCGTCAGACAAGACTTTCAATTAATCCTTCACTAGAAATTAATCAGAAACCTATTGAAGAATTAGAAAATATTAGATTCTTAGGATTTGAAATTGACAAAAATTTAACTTGGAATTCTCACGCAAACAAAGTAATAAAAAAAACTGTATCTGGTCTATTTGCATTAACTAGATTAAAAAATCTTCTTGATCAAGTAACATTAAAATCAATATACTTTTCGTACATACATTCTGTTATTTCTTTTGGAATATCTCTGTATGGCGCTACATCTATCAATAACTTAGAAACAATCCTAAAATTACAAAAACGAGCTATAAGAATTATTTTGGACCTTGACTCGAGAACTTCAAAAGAGCATTTTAGATCATTAAAAATAATGACAGTATATGGATTGTACATCTATGAAACAGTTCTATATGTTAAAAACAGATTTTCTCAATTGGCGTTAACTGGTGAACACCACCACTACAATACCAGAAACAAAACCAACATTGCTCTAAACCGCCACAGATTAGAACTTTACAGTAAAAAACCAAGTTATACCGGCTCCAAATTTTACAACAAAATTCCAAATGAAATTAAATCGGCAAAAAGCATGGTCGAATTTAAGAGGGGTCTTAAAACATTTCTCATCAACAAGGTATTGTATTCCCTTGATGAACTTTAAATTTTTTAGAAGGAGCATTCATTTGTAATTTGTATAAACTTATGTTAGATTTTAAGAACTTTGTATCCATAGAATATAACATTGTAATATAAAAACATTTAAGAGAATGACACTATTCATGTACTTTGTGCTTCAATGAATAAAGAAATATTGAATTGAATTGAATTGAATTGAATTAATCAAGCAGATTTCATGTATTTCCTGGACTGATGTGTTTGACAATGGAATCCCACCTAAACATATAACACCTCTATGTTACCATTAAATGGCAACATAGAGGTGTTATATATGTTTTTCCAAACTGCTGACAGGTACTGTAAAATCCATGAAAGTCAATATAGCAGTGCCGAGGCTAATACATACATACATATCCTCTCCCATTCCGGTTATCTCTGGGTCTGGGTGTGTGCTCTTCAACTTCTACTGTCCCTCCACAATTCCTCTTCCTCCATATACTGCACTCCTCTTGCTTCCACATCTTGTCAATCCACCATAGGTTCTTCTTAAGGTCTTCCTCTTGGCCATCTTCCATTTATGCGAAGCTCACTCATTTTTCTGGGGATTCTATCATATTCTATTCTTCTTAAGTGGCCAAACAATCTCAATCTTGATTTCTCTACTCGTTCTCTCAAACCTTCTCCAACTATTCCTCTTCTCAACTCTTCATTTCTAATTCCATCCAATCTTGATTTCCCTTTAACACGTTCACTGCTAATGACGCACTTGTGCGTCATAAGTATATTAGCAGATATATAATACATGATGTATATAATTACATAATATATTTTAATCCACAATTTATAGTATAAAATTTATTTAATTAAAGATATATTGTCACTCAATTAACATGATCATGTTAATGTTTATGTTTTTTAGCCATTTATAAAAGTATTACATATCATTAGCAGTGAATGTGTTAATACCTCTTACAAACTTCATTATAGTCCGAGGCTTATACAGTGAACAATTTGAGTGTATTACTTGATGTCAGCATAATTCTACAATACATGTGATGAAGTTGTTGCTACTGTTGCAGCGTTGGTGGAGAAATGAGATGGCAAAGCGTCGCAGGAGAGAAAATGCTGCAAAATTGCCGAAGAAGAGATCTAGTTGTAAATGGACAGAGTTGAACAACAGTGAACAAAGTCGAAAGAGGGTTCTAGAATACTACAAACCTCACGAGAAAAAGATTGTCAAGATCCAAGCTGTATGGAGAGGATGTAAGGTAGGTGCAAAAGAGCTTCTGATAAATTATGGTGTATAAACTATCCGTATTTAACTGCAGCAAAGAACATATTGGATTTTTTTACATTGTTCCCAAAATAGACATCCTTTTCCAACACAGGTTTTTACCTTTTCATTTCAGATAACAAAATAGTGCATTCCATGATTATTATTGGTTACTTACAGAGATGATTTGGTTTATAGAGATATTCTCAGTGCTAAAAACTTATCTGTCAATGTGGACTTCTATTCATGTGGACTTTGATTAAACATATTAGATTGTTAATCTATGAATATAGCTGGTCCATTACATGATAGGACTTAATCATTTAAGGAAAAATACTCATTTGTGTTCAATATATCTTGTAGAAATATACCTAAGTAATGATTAGTTATTTTTGGCAGTAAATGAAATCTGGAAATTCGCTTAGTATTCAGATTTACTGTAACAAAAGTATCAAGTGTTGCATTTAAACCTTTTAATGTGTTTTATGACAGGAAAGGTTCCAATTTCTTCACTTGAAATAAGTATATTGCTCTTATGCCTCTTATTTAATTTTTGGCTTCTCTGATTTGACTTTTAAACCTTTTTAGTTTTCAGACTACATTGAGGTCCTTCACCCAACAGAAATGAGAGGTTCAACTGTAGAAATTGCGTGTATATTTGATTTATCCAATTTGTTGCTTCTCACCAAATTATAACATGCTGGAATGATGGATAACCTCTTTCTTTATAGACTGACAGGAAATAATAGTGTTTTTATTTTACATTACCGCAATCTTTCAACTTCCACCATTTTGACCAAATTTCTTATTTAAATTGTTTACTTTGTAGGCCAGACGAGCGTTTGTTGATCTGCTACAAACTGCCAATCCGTCATTTAAAGTTGTGCGTCTCTTTCTTCATTTGCTAGACTTCAGTATCGAAGACTACCACAGGGAACTACAGCTTCAGGTAAATATAGTTAGAAAACTAATCTAGACACTTCTTACAGGAAAACAAAAAATTAAAATTTTGCTAATTTTTAACTAATAACATTAGTTTTGTTTCTGACAATGATGTTAATTTTGATGTAAGTCGGGGGTGTTCCAGGCTCATTTGGACACCTCTGTATAGTGAAACACGTCTGAAAAAAAAACTTGAATATTCCTGCCTGATAAAAAAAAAAAAAACTGTAAAGTACTGTGTGTACAAATCACAGTAAACTGTGCAACCAAACTGATAGTTTATCAGCTTACAGTTTTCAAACTACTAACAAATGGCTCTCCTGTAAAACGTTAAATCTGTACTATTGTGGCATGGATCAATTAGAGTTTACTGTGAAAGCTTTGAAATCTGTCAAGTTTGAACCAAGGAACAGAAATATATATATATATATATCACAGTTGTTTATTTTCCAAACAACCCTTAATTTAATAAGAGTTAGTTAAATAAGTATCACATTCAAACAATGTGTGAAGAAAAATCCTGAAACTCAAATAAATTACTATGAGAGCATCTTAATAACACATAACATTTTTTATACAGTAGACTCCCTCTTATCCGGACATCGGTTTAACCAAACTACACTCGGCGTAAATGACATCTCTTTAACCGGACAATTTTTATCACCACATCAGTTTAACCGGACTAGATCGGCAGGAAGTGGGCGGTACTGATATGACTGTTCTCGTGGGAAAGATTTGAGACCAGTGATCACGTGTCTAAATACAATGCTCTCCTCAATTTAAGTCAAATACTGTATACAGTATGTATAAAAACGGTGTGCGTAAAAGCATTTTCCCTCCTCTCCCTTAAAAAAAAAAAATGTATAAAAACGGTCTGTTTTAACAAGTTTTTGGGGACGTCGGTTTAACCGTAAAAACCGTTATCCGAACTGGCCTCGGTCCCGAGGAGTCTGGATAAGAGGGAATCTACTGTACAGGAACCAGTACAGAAGTAGGACAACTGACTGATACGGAGGTTATTAGGTAGCAGTGGGAAGGTGGTGCAACGGAACAACCAATGGGGTTACTTTATTTGGTCAGGCCATACTACACCATCGAATAATAGTCTTACAGTACACGGATCGGCTAATTAAACTCAAACAAGGGGAATCACGAATAGAGAAATACACCATGAATGTTAGCCAACCAACGCACTAAAATACATGCACAATTTTTAATTTTGTAGAATGGTGACACCATGTTCTATGTGTTACTCTGACATTGGAACTATAGCTTCCACAATAAATAACACCAACACTACAATCTTGGTCTTCAGGGTTCTACAGTGTCTCAGACATAAACTTATAACTAGGAGCTGACGTTTCGGCCTACTAGTAGTAGTGCAGCTCTGATGATGACTTTCTGTAATGAGGGCAAAACGTCATAAGTCATAAGTTTATGAATGTGAGGCCGATGAACTCTGAAGACCAAGTTTATAGTGTTAATGTGCTACTATCTAAAACTTGTAGACATGGAATATTGTATATAAAATAGGCCTACTTAGTTTCTAAATTGGTTTTAAAGACTGTCAAATTAGCTGCGACAATGAAAACTTACTTTGTTTAATGAGATGTTTATGTTGTTTGGTGAGTTGTTTGTGTTGTTTGACGAGTTGTTTATATTGTTTGATGAGTTATTTGTGTTGTTCGCAGACACTGAAGGAGCAAGTGGTGCAAGCCATTCGTCACAACAAACAACTCGCTCAGCAGATTGACAAGATGGACGTTACGATCGGCCTGCTGGTGCAGAACAGAATATCTCTACAGGTAAACATTTCTGTTAAATCAAAACAAAAAACAATCATCCCCATCCGACCCTGTGCAGACTCAACTCTAGTGATCTACTTAACCGGTTACAATCTAGACTTTGTCTCATGTAACAAGGGACAATTGGAAAAGGAATTATAGGATGATTAATTTGATATCTCCATAATTATTTATTGGAACCCATTCAACCTTTGTTTTCTGAATAAACCTTTTTGTAGGGGTCAAAATATCAAGTTTATTGTGCTGTGTTGTGAACTTGTAGGCTTTCAGAACTCTTTTCTTGGGTAAGTTAGTTGTGTATTCTATTCGTTCTTCCTTAATGCATTTTTAAGCCAAAAGCTCTTTCCTTAAAAAAAAAAAAAAAAAAAAACTACCAAGAGTAAAATTTATAATTTAGTCATAAATAGAAGTAATATTTATAATTATCTATTCATTCAAAAGTTTGTACTGAATCACTAAAGCCATTCAGGAAATTTGCATTGCCACTTTCTTGCGTTTTTGAATATAATTCACAGATTCTTTCCGGGACAGGAATCTTGTGTTTTGTAATTGCAGAAGGCGTCTGCAATGCATCGTTAAAAAAATATAAATGTGAACGCAATTATGGGAAGTATCAACGATATTATCCCAATGGCAAGAGATGATCACAATTTTACTGCAATAATGGGGTAGAAATAATGTTCACATGATGTTCTTTGTCAGTGTCAATGCCAGTGGCATTCATGCAGAAATTACAAACACTTTCAAGAAAAATTCTAAACCCATCAAAAATTTGTGGGGAGTTAAACCATCCTTCTCACAATGTAGATACTAACCACTAGGCTAACAGCCAAAGAAATATGATTCCTGGTAACCAGATTTTGGGAATAATGAGAATTGTTACATTCCTAGTCCATTTACATATGATTACAGGATGCAGTGAAGCAAGGCAAATCTCTGAGTGCAGCTACTCAGGGTCAGTCCGGGGGACTCAAAGCTCTATCTGCAGCGTCTCACAACAGACTACAGGGTTACCAACATCTCTTCTACTTCTTGCAGACTCGACCTCAGTGAGTACAACCTCTACAACTGTGTCAGAACCTTAGGTACTTTACTTACTTACTCCACTCCCATGGCCATGGATACCCTAGGTAGTATTTGGCCTCACCAACAAGTTGCCTCCATCCCTCCCTGTTCTCTGAACCTTCTAGCCTTGCTCTTAATTTTCACAATTCTTTCTCCGCCTGGTCCTTCCAGCGATTCTTGGGTCTTCCTATGGGCCTCCTTCTCACTGGGTTTGCCTCCAAACTTTTTTAATTAGTCTGCCATCTTCCCTCCAAAATACATGGCCAGCCATCCTTAGTCTTCTGTCCTTCTCTTCTCCTAAGTTTGGACTTACTTACTCTTACTCCCATGGCCATCAATACCCAAGGTGGTATTTGGCCTCGCCAACTTTTGTCTTAAATTACAAAATAGCCTTAATTAACTGATATGATGTGCACTAAATGTGTAAACATAGATAGATAAACATAAACATAAACATAGATTTTACTGCAGTCAAATGAGGGGTACAACATAATAACATGGCTAAAGTATGAATATCTCACAGTGCAATAATTTACTGTAAATTGATTATACTATATAGCCTAAAATAGTTATTTTGTGTCTTTCACAACAAGTTAAATGTTTAAAAAACTGGCATTGAACCTCTCCACAATGCTGCTACACAGCGTATATTGCACACCATATAACCTAGGCATGGTTATTGCCTTCTCTCCTACTCCCTCACCTGCTTATCATGACAACAAGTTGCCGTTGGCTAGTTGACTCGTAGCCCACTCTCTACCTGTCAACTCTTGTTATATACAGTGCCATTTGACATACAAACCCCTCAGAAGAATAAAGAGCACCCCTGCGTCATTCCTCTATGATTCTGCCTGTCCCATCCAATTTATAATCTTTGATAGTAGTTATAATCTTTGATAGTACACACAGCTCCAATATCAAAAAAATGTTTGCTTATTTGTTTGAGGTTACATAGTTTCACTGTAAAAGATGTGTGAATATTTTGTTTCTTGGGAGATCCTTGGATGCTGAACAATTTATAGTTCATTTTTTATTTTTTATTATTAGCATTGGAATATCTAAAGACAGAACATGAACACAGTAGATTGGATTTTTAGAATATACTGTTTCAATATGACATTGTTACATTGGTCTTTGAACGGAGGGAAAAATCTAAATGGACCCTCAGAGCTATCCCAAGGTGCTGATGGCCTTGTTTCACAATGACATGTTTTACAGTGTGTAGTTGGTACCTATGATCCACAGGTACCTGGCCAAGCTGATCTTCTGCCTACCTGAAAGGTGGACCCACAGATTTCTCAGCAACGTTATTCTCACCTTGTTCCACTACGGAGCTCATCACAGGGAAGAATATCTGCTGCTGAGGCTGTTCAGGTTCGCTTTACAGGAAGAAATTAGGTGAGTTTCATTGTTTCATACAGTCATATAGTTAAACATTATCTTTAGTTCTTTGCTTGAAATAAAATTTTTGTAATGGTAAAGGCCATTCCACACTGAGCTTGCTACTGCGGTGGGAGCGAGCTTTGAAAAATCGCTCACAATGTTATCAAATGGAAGTCACAAAGGACTACCATGCACCCCTGGGCGTGCGATAGTGTCTGCCACGACCGCATGCTGAGTGATTCATTGAGATTCCCATGGCAGTAGTTTTGACTAGTGCATGCGCAAAGGTGCATCTTGACTGGCCAAGCCATTTCAATGTTTAAAAGAAATACAATAAAATGTTCATGTTTCCTTTGTTTTTGTTGATGTATGTTGTTTTGTATTTTCGCTTCACTACTGTGTAATCAATTGATTTCGTGATATGTTTATCACCAGCCAAAATTCAATTTGTTTACCATGCAAAAATAATGTTTACGGTTCAAATTTGATGTTTCCTATAAATTTTTTTATGTCAACGTAAAAAAACAAACATTTGTTATTGTTTCATCAACTGTTTCAACTTACAACAACCAAAACTAAGTTTTAACGTTAAATTGAAGGCTTAACGTAAAAATGCTGTAAGTTTTGTAATGTTCCTAACTGTAACAAAGAAATATCCAATGATTGTTTTTATTAGGAAAGTCATTCGTCTTTGTAGTGTAGCAAAAAATAACGTTCAAAACACAAGTGAAAGTAGATAATTTATTCTAAACCCTATTAAAATGCTACGCTTTTGATGACATTCAATCTAAATTGAAATGTGCCTCATAAATAAAGATTATTTTATTTGACTTAGTTTTACTAATCGTGATGGACATTTTTTACAATAACCTCTCAAACAACATTACCACCTGCACTATAAGCAGACTACACCTGTGATCTGAATTTCGTGAAATTCGGTATGTCGGTTAACTAGATGGCCCAGAATCGAGTTGGGTGGAGAGCTTTGTTTGCAGTCCCAATCCCCCCCCCCCCCCCCCCGCTGGATTAAAGGAACTAAAGCCCCTCCAGTTACCCAGTATAATTGTTTTAAATTGTTTGCTCACTAAAGTTTGTTGAATTTTAATATCAAGCTTGTGAGAAATTATGAGCCATTTTGCTGATACTGTTGTACTGTGTTGTAGGTGCAAGTTCAGCAAGCCAGCGGATGTGACTACTGGAGATCCTCTTGTGTTGAGGATGGTGGTCAACTACGCTAGACAGAGATCAGGGCAGAACGCACTGCAGTTCATACTTGGACCTCTTATAGAAAAGGTACAGTTACTCACATCAGTCAATGATATAGCTAACTAAAATATTCAAATGAAAGTGTGAAATGTATTTTTACCTACGTTTTTAAAGTAGCTGTTTCAGTTCAGTTCTTAGAATTGAAAAGTTTCCCAATTCCCATAACGGCATAGTTTTACTCATAACAACATGGGTAACGGACCACTGAGGTTCAAGGATTGAGAGAGAAGAAGTAAAATTTTAATTATTCAAACTTCAACTAATCAGCTGTTGAGGCCAACTTAATTGTTGAGTGGTGCAATTAGTGTTTGGTACAATGGTTCGTTGCATCACTGTCAGTGGCAATGAGAGGTCATAAACAAAAACATAACCCCTCTTAGAAGTTATGTGTAGTGTTTTTTTTAGCAATTAAAACACTGTCATAGGTAAAGTAGTGTATACAACTTGTGTAAATACTATTAACGACACTCGTAGAAGTTTTCAAGGCACTCGCCAAGCCAAGGCTCATACCTTAAATTTTCTACTGGTGTCGTTAACACTATCTTTACGCAATCGTTGCGTAAACTACTACTTAACAATTCTTTTCAAGCCACACAATAACTGACATAGTACATAAAAATATAAAGTTTCCTTGAATTCTCAAACAAGTTTTCATAATAATAATCTCTGGATTAGGTTATCTACTGGTGGAAAAGTTCCCATCTTCTTTAACTTTGAGAAGTTGCAAGTAGGAGGGAGGGCTTTAATGACTAAAGTAGGGATGCAGCTGTTGAAATATTTGTTGCTGTGGGTTGTAGCATTGTTGAATATGGGTTTGTCTTTGAATTGATTGTGTCCATTCATCCTAGAATATAGACTGTTGTTAGTTAGGACTACATGTTGAGCAAAGTACATTTTGTAATTGATAAATCACATTATCCGTATTAATGTACATTGTGCACTTTCATACTAAGGTGAGCTTGATGTTAAACCAAAATCCATTACAAAATCCTTATTCTTACCAATTCTCACAAATTTCTTTTTGCCCTTGTTAATCTTAACTAATCCTTACCAATAATAATCTACATAAATTGAAACGAATAGACTAGTTAACACAAACGTATCTATCAGATCGTATGCATAGTTCTAGTTCTGTCTACTGCGGGATTATTTATTATGTGTTTGCTGTAGCTGCTGGCAGATAAACATGTAAGCATAGACACCAACCCAGTGGCCATCTACAACCAGTGGAGAAACCAGCAAGAAATGTCCACAGGAAAACCCTCGTAAGTTTTCATTACTTATCTTTAGTTGTTTGTAGCACTACAATAGTTTTATTTTATTTAAATATATTAGTTTCAAACAGTGGATGATTTTTGGTGAAACACTTGGCTTGGGAATAAGTTAAAGAAGGAATGGATACACACATACACAATTATCTTCCCTAAGAAAAGAGTTCCGGGCACAGGCAAAAGAGATCATGATGGCACACCAAAGTTGATAATGCAACAATCTGATATTTAACCTCTAAACGGGGGGTTCTTCTTTAGAATACATCCGTACTCAATCCCACGTTCAGGTCTTTGGAGATTGTCATTGTCGTGATATTAACTAAACTGGAAACATTATGTTGATTGCAAGCTGCAACATCTGTCCTCACGACCCTTGTGATGGCGCAAAAGATGCATATACATATTTCATTATTAGTAACAGCACAGTAAAATGCAGAGGATACAAACTTGTGGGACAACCAAGCACTTTTAGCCCTGGTATGTTGGGGCGGAATTGAATTTGTACAAGGAGTTGTACTTGAGCAAGGAAGAGCCCGAACGGGGAAGGCAACATAGCAATTGTTGTACAGCAGTTGTAGCGTACAGGGTCTTCCTACAGTGTGAGCACTGTAGTATGAGAGCGGGAGGGGATGACAAATAGAATTTGCTCTAGACACCACTTAAGTGTAATATTGAATGCATCCTCTGTATCTTACTTTTCTGTGGTAACAGTAACAATATGCTTTTTAATTACGTTGGCGTTTTGATTTAGTCATTATCATTTTAATTTTAGTGTCGTCAAAATTGGTGTATAGAGGTAAAAAACCCTAAGGAAATTAAAAACGGTAAAGGAGCAATTTACAAGTATTTAATAGAGAGTAGCTGCCTTGAGCATATCCATTCCTGACTAAACCTTCCCTTGGTAATGTAATTAATTACACATTTTATATATTCTGTATAGAGCTGAGCTTTGTGTTTTTGTGCCAGAACCGGCCATTTCCTATTCAGGCAAGCCTGCTGTTGTCAAAATCCTTACAACCTAGGCCCTTTGTTTTATGATACATCACATCCTCAAACTCCTGATAAAATAGTCTAAATAAACAGAAATATATTGTTTAAATACTGATTCCATTGACAGGGACCTTCCCACTGGACTGAACCAAGAGCAAGCCCTTGGCTACCAGGAGGTTAGAGACAGACTGGCTGATGCTATCTCTACACTCAAGTCTACGGCAGCTAGGTTCCTACAGAGGATAACTGAGTCTAAGCAACTCATACCTTACGGGCTGCTGTTTACTGCTAAGGAGCTCAAGTCAGCTCTGCACGCTAAGTTTCCTGATGCCCAAGAGAAGGAGATACTTAAGGTAAGTGATAAACCTTGGTTGCTCGTAAGCTAGTTTTGCTTTTTGTATAATAGTATTGTTATTTATTACGGTGCACCTACTAAAATATTTTTCCTCAAAATAGATTCATTATTTTTTTCCTCCAATATTTCCAAATAAAACAAATCAAGGAAACACATAGCCAACAAAGCAACAGTGCATATAAGCTGATTAGTAATGAAGGATGGCTACGTATTAGCTTGTTTTGTCCTTAAACATTGACTTATTGGGCTTTTAATTAGGGTTGAGTTTAATCAAATGGTCTGTATAGTTTAGAACTTCAATTATCCGACTCAATGGGGGTTGTACCACATTTGGAACTTACATAATTTAGATAACTGAATTTTACCGAAATACATGGTGTTTTGTAGAAAATAAGCCAAGTTGAGCCAAACTTTAACTATTGCTATCTCTGAACATTTCTGCAAGTGCAAAGATTTCACAATAAAATAATGCATTCTTTCACCGTGATTTAAGAGGAAGATGATGATTTTCCGCGACTGTGAAAGACGATGAGAATGTCTACTTGACCACAGGTTTTAGGTTTTTAAATTTTCCCGTATGTAATTTGGATAATTGGTGATTCGGATGGTTGACCTAGCTATTATTGTTTCACCAAGTCCAGACACTGAACTGAGTGCATGTATTAGGTCAATGAATCCATATTTTATCCTTGTTGTTGTTTTTTTTAAGGTTGTGGGGAACCTGATCTACTACAAGTTTATCAACCCATCAATTGTTGCTCCAGAGACCTATGAGATAATCTCTCTCCCGGCTGAGAAGACTTTGACCACAGAACAACGACACACACTGGCCAGCATTGCCAAGATATTGCAGTTTGCTTCTGCTAAGAAAGGGGTCAGTATACACATGCATCACGCGACTCTTCATTTAAGTAAATTAAAATTATCTTACCCTAGCTGGCCACTCAAACCTAAGCCGGTTTTTGGCCTCTCGAACAGCTCTGTGCCATCTTTCTCGGTCCTTCATCATCTCCTCTGTAACGGACATTCTTCTCAATTTCTCAAATCCCTCCGGACTTGGTCCCACCATCGCAGCCTTAGGCGTCCTAAAGGTCTTCTTCCTACAGGTACAGCATCCGTCACTGTTCTCAAGACTGACTCTTTAGGTCTCCTGTAGACATGTCCTGACAAGTTCAGAAACGACAAGAGCATTTAAGTAAATTAGAGTTTTAAAAATCCAAACCATGCTAATCTGACAAGAATTAGTTGAACATTATAAACACCCCTCACACACCATCGTTATACAGATTAACTCCAATCTCTGTCTCTTTACCGTTGCAGTTGAAATTACAGTGCAGAGTTGGTAATTTTTTACATTTGATAATGCTTTACGTTTACTTAAATAAATTTTGTCCACAGTTGTTGAAGAAAGTGGCGTATCGTTTATTTAATTGGTTTGCTAAACAGCTGATTTCTCAAAATTTTACCTTTTCCTCATCCTGATGTTGAGCAAAACAAAATTCAGGTTGATTTTGTTTTGATTGAATTATAATCCATAGGAAATAGTTTGTATGTAGATTATATTCAATTCACCCTTACATGTAAAATGCTATAAATAAAAAAAATTTGAAATACAAAGTAATTTTAGTATGTGTAAACAGGGAGTATTTTCTGTTTTCCAAGTGTTGAAGTTGGCAATTACATTGTTTATCCGTTGAAGTTGGCAATTACATTGTTTATCCGTTGAAGTTGGCAATTACATTGTTTATCCTGTTACGTCAACAATACAGCTCAGTGGCTCAGTCACAGTCAATTCTAACCTCAATGTTGTTAGTAGGTTTGTTGTACTTAAAGTAATTTTTTAGTTGTTAGTTGTCACTCTGCCAAAAATTGTCAAATCAAAATATTACGTACCATTTGTGATCAAAGTGCCTTTTTAAACTCAAAAACTTATTATAACTTGATAGTTTAAAAAGTTTTTCCCTGGTTAATCCCAACAAGTTTTTCCCTGGACAATTGTCACTTTGCTCACTAGTTGTGCATAACTAATAATCAAACCTGATATTCTCATAGTTAAGTTTGTGTTCGGATTGCAGTTTGGTGAGGAGTCGAAACATTTGATGGTTCTCAACCCATTCCTGATAGAATGCCACGAGAAACTGAAAGTCTTCTTTAAGAGCTGCTGTGATGTAGAGGATTTGGAGACTCATTTCAATGTGTCCGAGTTCTCCGAAGCTACCCTTATCTCTCGCCCAAGTGTGGTCATAACCATAGAGGTATGGCAATTGTCTCAACTTAAAATCTTTTTTTCTACATTTATAAAAAAAATCGGAGTCCATGGTTTGACTTAAAGAAATTGTGTACTCATACTTGATTGAGGATGTAACATAGAATTCTATTAGGAATCATGCTTTGGAACAAAAACCTCTAACCAGTAAAATTAGAACATTTCACTGTCACTGACTGGGTTCCTTGTCCGAAAATGCTGTCACAGTGAAGTGTTCAAATTTTTGTGTATAGTGGGCCTGAATAGACTATTCGTGTAAGCTTGATATTCTAACCAAGCCTTAAAATCACAGTTAACCAGGTAAGTTAATGATGACAATTAATTATTGAAGATTAATTTGGTTTTTTTTTTTTTAGAACAAAGCACCTGGCCTAGGAATACATTTAAGAAGAAGGAATGAATACACAACTGACTAACCTAAGGCACACAATTAATTTCATATCCCCCAAGGGGCTTCTTCAGAAAGAAGTAATGAAATGGCAGTTAAAAAAACTGGCACTGGTCTAAGTTAAATCAGTCTTGCCAACACATCTCTGTCTAACCGCTAAACTAGTCTGAGTCTATCTATAAACTCTTTACTCCAAATCTTTACTTGGTTTGGTTTAGTTTTAGTGTTTGTCCACTATTCTGTTCTGTGGGTGGTTTGTTTTGCGTTTTTTCAGCTTCGGCTTGGTTTGTTATATTAATTTCTTGTAATGTTTGAAATACTATCCAACCTGAGGATGGGATCAGATTTAAGATCCCGAAACGTCATCAAAACTTTGTTATTTACTTGTCGTGATAGAGAATGTCTGCAAAAATCTCTTCAATAAAGTTAGAATTTATTGTGTTGTGAACTTTTTTGTGTTCCTAACTGGGTTTCTTGGTTAAGTTAGTTATGTATTCCTTCTTCCTGAAGAAGATAATTGATGTTATCTTTGCACTGAAATGAGTTATTAGTAAGAATCTTATTTGGGTATTACAGGAGGTGTGCAACATGCACCAGTTTGTGTTTGACTACGCCAACGAGATAGCGCCGGACCCACTGGACCCGCTGCATGAACTGTTGGAAGACGTTGGCCCCGTCCCCACTGTGCCACAACTGATGGGCCGTAAGTCACCTTAACATACTACATTTTGTATATGATCATTAGTTTAAAACAAAACAATGATAGGAACTTGTCTAAGTACCGGTAACACAATTTGTAATATTTTATGGTGACTTACCATTTTATCAACCACTGGCTGTAGTGGTTGGTATTAACTTTAGTGATGATCATAATTCATTTCGATAGTTCCAGGAATGTATTTAATTACAAGTAACTGCTTAAACATACGTCCTCAGACACATCCTTAACAAGTAGAATATCGTGTGGAAAACTTCCTACACATGTTTAAGCAGTTATTACACCTCTGCCATCATCAGGATAACACAAAGATCCACTTCTTGAGGTGACGTCAGATTAAGTTACACAGTTTTTTACACATGACTCAAGAACGAAGACAAAATTGATTACAGGTAGTCAATATCAATTGTACTTGTGTAGCCTACATTCCATACGTGCCATGGGTAGGACTGGAAACAGACTGAACTATGTTATGAACTGACAAGGTCCAGGAGTTGTTATCTATATTATCAGCTGATATTGGACTATTGCAGTGGCGGAGAAGAGTGTTGAAAATATAAAGAGGATTTGTAATTGAGTTTTTCATTTAAAATTTGCTAGTGACCATGACCAAAAAATATTTCAATAATTTTTGTGTTACTTTTTCATGTCTCTCTCTATATTACGTGAAGCTCATCCTTTACAAAGATATGTAACTCTTTCCAAACCGCATTTTAAAATTCTATCCCAGAGCTTTTACAAAACATAGTTTTTAGACTTAAACTATTATAAATTCTAAAATAGTTGGATTAAAATCAGTTACGATTGTTCTTCCAATGCTGATGAGAGGGCTTGTTTTCAGATGAAGGTGAGGAGTTGACTGGTGAAGTTATCAAGAGACTCGGACAGACAGAGTTTTGTCTACATCTCACTGACAAGTTTGAGGTCCCTCAGGACAATACAGATACCACCAAGATGTTCATCAAGTATGTATAGTAGCAGTACCCCACCCCGCTCAATTATTTAGCTACTTGTAGTTCTGTCAACCAAGTCATCAAAACTACCAGAACCATTCACATTTTAGTACTGAAGTTGTATCAATTGTCAAAGCCAGTATTTGAGCTTATGTCCTTGTACCAGGCTCTTATGAACTCACCGATCTGTTATCGGATTGTAACATTACCTCAAATAAGTGTTTAGTAGTTGTATTATTAAATGGGATAGAATTTAGCTCGCTTCCCTGAGAAAATTTGAGTCCCTAGGCTAATGATATACAGTATAAGATCACAATAAAACTGATAGTTCGTCATAATATCATAGAGATTTTCTCTTCAATCTTGAAAATTCTCAAATTCTCTCAAATTTAGGTGAGTCGGTGGCTCAGTTGGTAGCCTAACGGACTTCGGGCCCAAGGCAGCGATGTTCTGGGATCCTAATCACTGCCACCACTTTTTATCAGTACAGTTCACCCTGAACTGTACTAGCTCACCATTTGCTTTGCAGGATACGTTTCACACACTGGTCCATAGCGTATGTGGACGGGCAAATGCAAGGTTGTTAAAAGAGGTCACCAACCTCTATAAGGAAAAAAATCTACTCTCTAAAGAAGTTCTATATTATGACAAAATATCAGATTAATGTTTTCTGACCTTTTATTATGTACTAGTCCATAGTCTATAATTTTCTAGTCAAACCCTTATTATAAATTCCTAGTCCTTAACTCGACATAACCTTCCAGTATATAGTAGGTATTTTTTTTTTTTAAGAGCTCTAGTCCAGAAAAGGTTTGACTTTGGTGTTGATAAGATCAGGCTAACCTGTAGAGTGTGTGTTTTCTCAATTAACACATTATTTCATGTACAAACAGAAAATATAAATATTTCATGGTCAGTATTTACTACATAGAAGACTCACCTACAAGTACTTAGGTACTGTTCCAATGAGAATATTTGTACCAATTACTTGTATGATTGTTAGTAACAAAGTGCTCATGATAATTTGGTCGACCTGTCTCCACAGAGCTAAGGAGTTGGCTGTGAGTGTGATGCCGTATCTCTCAGGACACAACCTACCAGGAGCTCTGCGGCTAGAGAGTACAGCTGCGCAGGAGGAGGCGTTCACGCGAAGACAAGCCAACAACCGCGCAGAGGCCATCAACTGCTCTCTGCACAACATACTGGACGACCAGCCTAGGTATGTGTCTTGTCTACCCTGTGGTTGTAAACTCCTTAAAAATACTTTATGACGACATTTTTTATTGTTTTTAAGCTGAATTCTGAGAACAAATAATTTAATTGTTCCCAAAAATTAACGCATATTCAAATTATTCTTTTGGGAAATAAACAGGTTTGTTCTGAACTGTTTCAGTTCACTGAAGGAGTGCAAGTCTAAGTTGAGAAAGTACCTGAGTAAGCTGGATGAGGCAGGGTTGGTCAGCAGAGATGATGGCTACCAAACTATTTTGTCAGCGATCGCAGCTGATATCTCCAACAAGGGCAGATATCGCCAGATACAATCACAGGTGAGTTTAGTTGAGGAATTACCTCAGGAAGCTGGATGAGGCAAGGTTGGTCAGTAGAGATGATGGCTACCAGACTATTTTGTCAGCGATCGCAGCTTATATCTCCAACAAGGGAAGATATCGCCAGATACAATCACAGGTGAGATTAGTTGAGGAAGTACTGAGTAAGCTGGATGAGGCAGGGTTGGTCAGCAGAGATGATGGCTACCAAACTATTTTGTCAGCGATCGCAGCTGATATCTCCAACAAGGGCAGATATCGCCAGATACAATCACAGGTGAGATTAGTTGAGGAAGTACTGAGTAAGCTGGATTAGGCAGGGTTGGTCAGTAGAGATGATGGCAACCAAACTATTTTGTCAGCGATCGCAGCTGATATCTCCAACAAGGGCAGATATCGCCAGATACAATCACAGGTGAGATTAGTTGAGGAAGTACTAAATAAGCTGGATGAGGCAGGGTTGGTCAGTAGAGATGATGGCAACCAAACTATTTTGTCAGCGATCGCAGCTGATATCTCCAACAAGGGCAGATATCGCCAGATACAATCACAGGCGAGATTAGTTGAGGAAGTACTGAGTAAGCTGGATGAGGCAGGGTTGGTCAGCAGAGATGATGGCTACCAAACTATTTTGTCAGTGATCGCAGCTGATATCTCCAACAAGGGCAGATATCGCCAGATACAATCACAGGTGAGATTAGTTGAGGAAGTACTGAGTAAGCTGGATGAGGCAGGGTTGGTCAGTAGAGATGATGGCAACCAAACTATTTTGTCAGCGATTGCAGCTGATATCTCCAACAAGGGCAGATATCGCCAGATACAATCACAGGTGAGATTAGTTGAGGAAGTACTGAGTAAGCTGGATTAGGCAGGGTTGGTCAGTAGAGATGATGGCAACCAAACTTTTTTGTCAGCGATCGCAGCTGATATCTCCAACAAGGGCAGATATCGCCAGATACAATCACAGGTGAGATTAGTTGAGGAAGTACTGAGTAAGCTGGATTAGGTAGGGTTGGTCAGCAGAGATGATTACCACCAAAGTAATTGGTGCCTTTTTGGATATGTCCAAGGCATTTGACAGCGTGCACCATTTAAAGTTACTAAATAAACTTAAAATGTATGGAATTGGTGGCAAAGAGTTAAGCTGGATTGAATCTTATCTGGAGGGACGCCAACAGTTTGTTAACATTGTTCATTTAAGTGGGAATAAAATGTACCATATTAAATCTGAGGTTAGGACAGTAAAATACTCAGTGCCACAAGGATCAGTGTTGGGCCCATTCTTGTTCTTGTGCTACTTGGGAGGGATGCCAAAACATTTATTTGAACATGTAGAAAATAATATTCTGTGCTTGTATGCAGATGACATAAGTATGTCGATACATGATAAGAATATGGAGCTTCTTATAAATAAAACTAATGATTCACTCACAATAATTAAAGATTACTTGAATGAAAAAAATCTTTTACTAAATGAAAATAAAACAACGTTCATTGAGTTTGAATCTAAAAAATCTAGAAAAGAACTGTTTAACAATTTTGTTTATGAAACTAAATTTTTAGGCCTAACCTTAAATAGCACACTTAATTGGACCTCACATGTTGACAACTTATGTAATAAAATCAGCTCAAGTATTTTTGCTATTAGACGCTTATATCCATTATGCAACAGAGAAATCTTAAGAAAGGTTTACTTTGCTACTATTCACTCACATATTTCTTACGGTATAGAAATTTATGGAGGAACAAGTAAATTAAATTTAAACAAAATTTTACATTTACAAAAAGAAGCCATTAGGTGTATCCTTAATCTCGATATAAACGAATCCTGTAAAAATCATTTTAAAGAATTAGAGTTCTTTACCGTTTTCAGTCTCTATATTTATAAGACGATAATGTATGTTAATAATCATGAATCAGAACTTCAAAGACAGAAAGACGTACATAATTATAACACTAGAAACAAACTAAACTTCATAACTAAAAAACATAAAAAAGAAAAATTTAAGGAGAGTCCTAATTATATTGGAATCAAATTCATGCATTCCCTCCCCAGCAGTATTAGAAACGAAAGTAGCGTAAATAAATTCAAAAATAAACTTAAGGGGTTTTTAATTTATAGCGAATTTTATAGTTTGGAAAGTTTTGAACACTGTAACAAAAAAACTGTATGACTAAGCAAGTAGGGAAGTAGGTGAAATCATGTGAAGTAGTTTTAGGTTGATGACACATTCATGTACACTTGTTGTATGTATTGAATAAAGATTTATTGATTGATTATTGATTGATTGATGATGGCAACCAAACTATTTTGTCAGCGATCGCAGCTGATATCTCCAACAAGGGCAGATATCGCCAGATACAATCACAGGTGAGATTAGTTGAGGAAGTACTGAGTAAGCTGGATTAGGCAGGGTTGGTCAGTAGAGATGATGGCAACCAAACTATTTTGTCAGCGATCGCAGCTGATATCTCCAACAAGGGCAGATATCGCCAGATACAATCACAGGTGAGATTAGTTGAGGAAGTACTGAGTAAGCTGGATTAGGCAGGGTTGGTCAGTAGAGATGATGGCTACCAAACTATTTTGTCAGCGATCGCAGCTGATATCTCCAACAAGGGCAGATATCGCCAGATACAATCACAGGTGAGATTAGTTGAGGAAGTACTGAGTAAGCTGGATTATGCAGGGTTGGTCAGCAGAGATGATTACCACCAAAGTAATTGGTGCCTTTTTGGATATGTCCAAGGCATTTGACAGCGTGCACCATTTAAAGTTACTAAATAAACTTAAAATGTATGGAATTGGTGGCAAAGAGTTAAGCTGGATTGAATCTTATCTGGAGGGACGCCAACAGTTTGTTAACATTGTTCATTTAAGTGGGAATAAAATGTACCATATTAAATCTGAGGTTAGGACAGTAAAATACTCAGTGCCACAAGGATCAGTGTTGGGCCCATTCTTGTTCTTGTGCTACTTGAGAGGGATGCCAAAACATTTATTTGAACATGTAGAAAATAATATTCTGTGCTTGTATGCAGATGACATAAGTATGTCGATACATGATAAGAATATGGAGCTTCTTATAAATAAAACTAATGATTCACTCACAATAATTAAAGATTACTTGAATGAAAAAAATCTTTTACTAAATGAAAATAAAACAACGTTCATTGAGTTTGAATCTAAAAAATCTAGAAAAGAACTGTTTAACAATTTTGTTTATGAAACTAAATTTTTAGGCCTAACCTTAAATAGCACACTTAATTGGACCTCACATGTTGACAACTTATGTAATAAAATCAGCTCAAGTATTTTTGCTATTAGACGCTTATATCCATTATGCAACAGAGAAATCTTAAGAAAGGTTTACTTTGCTACTATTCACTCACATATTTCTTACGGTATAGAAATTTATGGAGGAACAAGTAAATTAAATTTAAACAAAATTTTACATTTACAAAAAGAAGCCATTAGGTGTATCCTTAATCTCGATATAAACGAATCCTGTAAAAATCATTTTAAAGAATTAGAGTTCTTTACCGTTTTCAGTCTCTATATTTATAAGACGATAATGTATGTTAATAATCATGAATCAGAACTTCAAAGACAGAAAGACGTACATAATTATAACACTAGAAACAAACTAAACTTCATAACTAAAAAACATAAAAAAGAAAAATTTAAGGAGAGTCCTAATTATATTGGAATCAAATTCATGCATTCCCTCCCCAGCAGTATTAGAAACGAAAGTAGCGTAAATAAATTCAAAAATAAACTTAAGGGGTTTTTAATTTATAGCGAATTTTATAGTTTGGAAAGTTTTGAACACTGTAACAAAAAAACTGTATGACTAAGCAAGTAGGGAAGTAGGTGAAATCATGTGAAGTAGTTTTAGGTTGATGACACATTCATGTACACTTGTTGTATGTATTGAATAAAGATTTATTGATTGATTATTGATTGATTGATGATGGCAACCAAACTATTTTGTCAGCGATCGCAGCTGATATCTCCAACAAGGGCAGATATCGCCAGATACAATCACAGGTGAGATTAGTTGAGGAAGTACTGAGTAAGCTGGATTAGGCAGGGTTGGTCAGTAGAGATGATGGCAACCAAACTATTTTGTCAGCGATCGCAGCTGATATCTCCAACAAGGGCAGATATCGCCAGATACAATCACAGGTGAGATTAGTTGAGGAAGTACTGAGTAAGCTGGATTAGGCAGGGTTGGTCAGTAGAGATGATGGCAACCAAACTATTTTGTCAGCGATCGCAGCTGATATCTCCAACAAGGGCAGATATCGCCAGATACAATCACAGGTGAGATTAGTTGAGGAAGTACTGAGTAAGCTGGATTAGGCAGGGTTGGTCAGTAGAGATGATGGCAACCAAACTATTTTGTCAGCGATCGCAGCTGATATCTCCAACAAGGGCAGATATCGCCAGATACAATCACAGGTGAGATTAGTTGAGGAAGTACTGAGTAAGCTGGATTATGCAGGGTTGGTCAGCAGAGATGATGGCTACCAAACTATTTTGTCAGCGATCGCAGCTGATATCTCCAACAAGGGCAGATATCGCCAGATACAATCACAGGTGAGTTTAGTTGAGGAATTACCTCAGGAAGCTGGATGAGGCAAGGTTGGTCAGTAGAGATGATGGCTACCAGACTATTTGTCAGCGATCGCAGCTTATATCTCCAACAAGGGAAGATATCGCCAGATACAATCACAGGTGAGTTTAGTTGAGGAATTACCTCAGTAAGCTGGATGAGGCAAGGTTGGTCAGTAGAGATGATGGCTACCAAACTATTTTGTCAGCGATCGCAGCTGATATCTCCAACAAGGGCAGATATCGCCAGATACAATCACAGGTGAGATTAGTTGAGGAAGTACTGAGTAAGCTGGATTAGGCAGGGTTGGTCAGTAGAGATGATGGCTACCAAACTATTTTGTCAGCGATCGCAGCTGATATCTCCAACAAGGGCAGATATCGCCAGATACAATCACAGGTGAGATTAGTTGAGGAAGTACTGAGTAAGCTGGATTATGCAGGGTTGGTCAGCAGAGATGATTACCACCAAAGTAATTGGTGCCTTTTTGGATATGTCCAAGGCATTTGACAGCGTGCACCATTTAAAGTTACTAAATAAACTTAAAATGTATGGAATTGGTGGCAAAGAGTTAAGCTGGATTGAATCTTATCTGGAGGGACGCCAACAGTTTGTTAACATTGTTCATTTAAGTGGGAATAAAATGTACCATATTAAATCTGAGGTTAGGACAGTAAAATACTCAGTGCCACAAGGATCAGTGTTGGGCCCATTCTTGTTCTTGTGCTACTTGAGAGGGATGCCAAAACATTTATTTGAACATGTAGAAAATAATATTCTGTGCTTGTATGCAGATGACATAAGTATGTCGATACATGATAAGAATATGGAGCTTCTTATAAATAAAACTAATGATTCACTCACAATAATTAAAGATTACTTGAATGAAAAAAATCTTTTACTAAATGAAAATAAAACAACGTTCATTGAGTTTGAATCTAAAAAATCTAGAAAAGAACTGTTTAACAATTTTGTTTATGAAACTAAATTTTTAGGCCTAACCTTAAATAGCACACTTAATTGGACCTCACATGTTGACAACTTATGTAATAAAATCAGCTCAAGTATTTTTGCTATTAGACGCTTATATCCATTATGCAACAGAGAAATCTTAAGAAAGGTTTACTTTGCTACTATTCACTCACATATTTCTTACGGTATAGAAATTTATGGAGGAACAAGTAAATTAAATTTAAACAAAATTTTACATTTACAAAAAGAAGCCATTAGGTGTATCCTTAATCTCGATATAAACGAATCCTGTAAAAATCATTTTAAAGAATTAGAGTTCTTTACCGTTTTCAGTCTCTATATTTATAAGACGATAATGTATGTTAATAATCATGAATCAGAACTTCAAAGACAGAAAGACGTACATAATTATAACACTAGAAACAAACTAAACTTCATAACTAAAAAACATAAAAAAGAAAAATTTAAGGAGAGTCCTAATTATATTGGAATCAAATTCATGCATTCCCTCCCCAGCAGTATTAGAAACGAAAGTAGCGTAAATAAATTCAAAAATAAACTTAAGGGGTTTTTAATTTATAGCGAATTTTATAGTTTGGAAAGTTTTGAACACTGTAACAAAAAAACTGTATGACTAAGCAAGTAGGGAAGTAGGTGAAATCATGTGAAGTAGTTTTAGGTTGATGACACATTCATGTACACTTGTTGTATGTATTGAATAAAGATTTATTGATTGATTATTGATTGATTGATGATGGCAACCAAACTATTTTGTCAGCGATCGCAGCTGATATCTCCAACAAGGGCAGATATCGCCAGATACAATCACAGGTGAGATTAGTTGAGGAAGTACTGAGTAAGCTGGATTAGGCAGGGTTGGTCAGTAGAGATGATGGCTACCAAACTATTTTGTCAGCGATCGCAGCTGATATCTCCAACAAGGGCAGATATCGCCAGATACAATCACAGGTGAGATTAGTTGAGGAAGTACTGAGTAAGCTGGATTATGCAGGGTTGGTCAGCAGAGATGATGGCTACCAAACTATTTTGTCAGCGATCGCAGCTGATATCTCCAACAAGGGCAGATATCGCCAGATACAATCACAGGTGAGTTTAGTTGAGGAAGTACTGAGTAAGCTGGATTAGGCAGGGTTGGTCAGTAGAGATGATGGCAACCAAACTATTTTGTCAGCGATCGCAGCTGATATCTCCAACAAGGGCAGATATCGCCAGATACAATCACAGGTGAGATTAGTTGAGGAAGTACTGAGTAAGCTGGATTAGGCAGGGTTGGTCAGTAGAGATGATGGCAACCAAACTATTTTGTCAGCGATCGCAGCTGATATCTCCAACAAGGGCAGATATCGCCAGATACAATCACAGGTGAGATTAGTTGAGGAAGTACTGAGTAAGCTGGATTATGCAGGGTTGGTCAGCAGAGATGATGGCTACCAAACTATTTTGTCAGCGATCGCAGCTGATATCTCCAACAAGGGCAGATATCGCCAGATACAATCACAGGTGAGTTTAGTTGAGGAATTACCTCAGGAAGCTGGATGAGGCAAGGTTGGTCAGTAGAGATGATGGCTACCAGACTATTTGTCAGCGATCGCAGCTTATATCTCCAACAAGGGAAGATATCGCCAGATACAATCACAGGTGAGTTTAGTTGAGGAATTACCTCAGTAAGCTGGATGAGGCAAGGTTGGTCAGTAGAGATGATGGCTACCAAACTATTTTGTCAGCGATCGCAGCTGATATCTCCAACAAGGGCAGATATCGCCAGATACAATCACAGGTGAGATTAGTTGAGGAATTACCACAGTAAGCTGAATGAAGCAGGGTTTGGATTTTTGAATACTTAATAATATAGTTTTAAAACTAAAATATTGATTAACTGTTCATATAACATGCTTCAATTTTAATTTTTTTAGGAACTGCAAAATGTGAAAATGACAAAGCAGACTTTATTAGAAAAGACGAGGTTTTATGAAGAACAAGCCGATTATTATAACAAGTACATAAAAACTTGCTTGGAGAATTTGAATGCTGGAAAGAGGTTAGTAGAGCATTGTAAATATATTGGGTAAGCGATTATGTAGATCTTATTTAGCCCTATAGTATTCATCTAGTTAAATCTTTGATTGTTACTTCAGTGATGAACATCTTTCATTTTTGTCCCAGGTTCTAATCCCCCCAAATCACCTATGGATTTTATCCAAGTGATAATGCCGCAACCTCTAAGTCTAGCCTAAAGTAATGTGAAAAACAATCCCGGGCTCGTGCCTAGCGTCCTAGGACGAACAAATTAAAAAATTAAAAATTCACCCACCGCAGCAAACTTACCTAAGCGAATTTCCATGTACCTGATATGATTTTCACTTAGATCTATTTAAATAACAATAAGTAAAATGAGTACCTAGCTTTGCTGCTAAAAGGAGGCTAATAAAGTGTGTTTTTTAGTAAAATATTAGTAGCTTACAAAAAAGTAAATCGGTCCCGGGTCTTGGTCATACCATGAGACATTGGGTAATAGCCTAATGAGAAATTCGCTAAAACAAAAAAAAATGAAATAAAAAAAAGTTTAATCCAAAATATTTGGTGACCCGAAATGGGTTCGGTCCCAACCATTTCTGACTATCAGGACTCTATTATAGTTCTAAGGCAACACCTTTTTGGTCCATACATGCACAAACATTTTGCAGGCCTAAAATTCCTGTTCATTCCAATATAGAAAGGTTCATCATTATTAAATAATGATTTTGTTTTTATTTATTTTTGTTGTATAAATTTTGGCAGCAGAATTAACAACTGTATTGTCATTGATCAAATGCAGATGGAAATAGACATTGGAAAATACTTAAAACTGATTAACTGACAATAGAATAGACAAATGTACATAGCCTAATCTTAATATCAACAACTATTAATTTCATACAATAAATGGCCGCTTTTATTGATAAACCCAGATCTACTGCAGTTGTGATTGTTTGCAGGAATGTACATAAGAAGTCCGGTGGTCGGAAGGTGAAGACGCAATGTTTGAAGTACTCTGGAGCCAAGTTACATGACAAGGGAGTGTTGGTGTCAGTGGAGGGGTTGCCTAGTCAACAATACAAGAACATCATGTTCGAGATCAGACCTACGGAGAACCACGGCGTGTTCAGTGTGTGCGGCAAGTTTATGGGAGTGGAGATGGAGACCATCGAGATTGACATACAGGTAGGTTGTGGCGATTGCTGTTTTGTTTTAGCTATAGTTCTAGCCAGCCTATGGTGAACTAAGGGGTCCGTGCTCTAACCCGGATATTGTCCTACGGTGTGGCAGCCGGACTTGAATTACTGCTGCCCGACTAAGTTTACTCCAAAGGGGACTAGGAAGTCCAATGGCAATAAGTCATCGTTTACATTACAAATTCTCCTACAAAAATACTGTATTGTGGTTTCCCTAAACATTTTTGTTAATTTGATGCTAAATTTCGCTCAAATCGGTCAACGTTTAGTCGTTTACACATTTTATTTGGGTTGGAATATTTTATTGTTGTGAATAAAAATATGTAGGGGAGAGTTGGACAAAACGGGATACCCTACGTTTTAGCGATACTAATGCTACAATCTAGCGGGAAAGCATAGGTTTTAGCTCTTGGCCGCCATCTTGGCATTCTCAGTTGAACACGGAAGGCCAGAATTCAGTTTGCTTGAGTTATGATGTTTCAAAGTTTTGTACTGAGTTTTCGGCCAAAATCGTTGGTTTTTGATTGACAATCTTCTTGATATAGTGTCTGTGTGTGAAGGAATACAATTTTGGTAGCATTATGTTTTGTTTGCTGTTTATTTCCGAATATCTTTATGTGATCACCTCATAGTTTTGCTGCTTAGTTCTGGCAGCAGCCATATTTGATTCCAAATGTGTCAGGGTTGGACAAAACGGGATGGTTTTGAGTTAGGCAAAACGGGATAGGCATTTTTAGAGTTGGAGCTGGAAGAAAGAGAAAAGAATGAAAAAGAAAATGCCAGAATAGTTAAAATGAGAGAAAAGGCTAATAAAAAGGGGCTGTTTGATATGAAAAAAGAAAATTTTTAAAACAAACGGATAAAAAAAGGAAAGAACCAAGAAAATCTTACCAAACCATCCCTGTTCAACAAATACAAAGGTCCATTGCACAGGAAAAGTCATCCTTATCTGTAGATGAAGAAGATCAAGGAAAATCAACTTCGTTTGGTTTTTAAACGATAGCCGCTTATTTTTTAAAATACTTTTTTAAGATTTGATGATAAACATATAACGTAGAAATTCCTATCCCGTTTTACCCAACCATGTTTGGTAACCAATTTACTTGAAATTCAGTATCAGCTTAACAGACATTTTTTGATAAACCACAATATTGTGTTGTTTTATTTGTATTTTATAATATTAAAGGAAATTACTTGTCGTTAATTTGGCTGTCCAAGTGTACTCAGCCGAGCATCACAGCGTGAACAATATTTGGCTAATGGTCTGCACCCACCCCTTGGTTCGCCATAGCTTGTCCAGAACTATAGTAATAGTGTTTTAAAATTGCATATTTACATATTTTCAAGTTTTAAATACTGTTGTTATACTTTGACTGAATACTGATAAATGAATGTGATGATAAATACGACTTATGACTTACTAAACAAATTATTTTCTTCTTTAATTTTTGTCACTATAACTATTGATAATACATATAGCTATAGCTTACACTATTGACTTTTTGGATACTGAAGCAACAATATTACAAGTGGTTGCTTATGATTGTACTTGAAACTTTTTATCAATGGCTTATTTGTGTTTGTTTTCTCTCTAAAACTGGTCAAGTACAACTTGAACTTGCAAATAGAATGTTTACTTATTAGTTATTACCAAGGTCCAAGGTAAGCTTATAAGATAAATAGGTTAGACTTGACGGGCAAGGATCAGGTCTGGTAGCGAGTAGGTCTAGTGGCGTAGCTGGGGCATTGGTCCCGAGATCCCGGGTTCAGATCCTTCCAATCACCAATCTGGCTTTTTTACTAAGGTTTGTATTTTATGCTGAAGTTTTTTACATTATTGTGTTTCACACATACATTTTTCCAGTGTTTTTGAACTAATATAGTAAAATAGCTTCATATATTTTTAGAACTTGCTGCAACTTCAGTTCGAAGGAGTCTCTGTCATGGATATTTTCAACAAAGCGAAAATCAACATCAACTTGCTTCTGTACCTCTTAAACACCAAGTTTTACAAGATCCACTAGTTTTTAAAACCTGACCGCTATTGTGACAATTTTTCTAAAAGTGGTAGCCTAGATGTAGTTTTCTGTTTTTGCACATTCCGTATTAACCAATATGTATTTATAAAATTAATATAAATCATGTAAATATTAATCCTTTTGTTAACAACACAGGCAGACTTCTTCTGTTGGAAATCTGTTTTATAGATAAATGATTAACATAGTTCTACCTTGACATTTGTTTAGTTATATATTTTAATGAGTGCTGAATGGTTGTGAAATATTTTATTTATGTATTTAACTTTCGGACACCAGTCCAGATTTTAACCAAAGTAATCTTAGTTTTAGGACTTTTGTAAATAGCACAAATGTGTATCTTGTAAACGTATATGTATCTTTTAATTAGTCAAATGTAGCTGAGCCGATTATTTAGTAGCCTGCATGTCTTCATATAACATGCAGTTAACAAGAGCTGAGTGGTTATAGTGCTCACCTGGTAATCAAAAGGTTGCCGGTTCGATCCTGAGAAAAGTCAGTAGCTTTTTGATGGTTTGAAACTGGACCCAGCTGTTCCTGATTATTGGGCTTTAGATAAATGATCCTGATTAATGAAACAGCTGATCTTAGTCAGTAACAAAGCTACACAGATCATCACACACCATTCTACACTCATCCTTCACTCATATTTGGGTTTAAAATACGCACCTAGGTGGCGTCCCCATCTCAATGATTTATGATTGAAGATATAGTGTTGGTTGCCAACAATTTTAATAAAACTCTATTGTTTTCCTTTGTTTTAGACCTTAAACATAATTAGTTTGATAATTGGTCATTAGAAAGCATCAAATGAAAATTACGTTTCTGTATCGATATTTATCATGTTTTAGTATCAAAACAGGTCAAATTCACTCAACTTGCACATTCTAAGGTGTTGAAATTTACACTGTCATATTTATCATGATCACAACGAACCCTTTGAAATGAATTCTTAGGTTATTTTTTGACAGTAAACTATACACTTAAATACAGTTTTCTCTTCAAAAGATTAAGTTAGATTCTAAAAACTTGTATAAATATTACAGAATTTTCACTAAGTCTATTATTTAGACTAATACACTAATTTTGTTTTTTTTTATACATTTAAGAATAGTTTAATAGCCTTACCAGTCTTAGATTAAGTTATTAGCTTCATTATGCAGTGACTAAGAATTTTAGCAAGTCCTCGCTTTGAATTTTTACTGATACATGATTTGCAAATACAGTAGATAATGTTTGTAATCAAGGTTTAGTATTTCTAGGCAAGTCATTAATGTGGTAAAGCATACTGGGCCCAATATTGTGCCTTGGAGGGCCATATAATACCTCTTTGTAATAAGAAAAAACTCAATTAGAGTAAACACCTTGGTGTTTTTTATATAGACTTCAATTTCTAAAATTGCAATATTGTATTCCATGAATGTACAGAACAGTAGTTAATGTTGTCTTTCTTAATGTTATTTTTAAGAATTATTATGTCTTCCAAGCCCTTTTTGGCTTGCTTGTAAATAATGTCACGTTGAAAATGATATACTATTTTTGTCAATGTTAGACACTAAACAAACTGAACTTTTAAATCCTCTTATCTAGTTAAGTCTGTTATAGACTATCTAAAATTTTTGTATGACAATATTAGTTAGTTTTGTATAACATATTTTACATAGTTTTAAGTTAAAACTCCAACCATGACATTTTATATATCTATACTCTATAATCAAGTACAATGTACAATCATTTTTTAAGAATAAAACCTTTTATGGAAGAAGTGTTTTTTATTTTAACCAATATTAGTACAGTGCAATTAGCTTAAAAAAAAGAGCAAACCGGGACATCCAAAAAAAAAGTTTCAAACCAGTGCCGATTTGTTGAATACACTTCCCTCAATATGTAAAAAAAGTTACACTGATTTGAGTGTCGGGTTTGGGGGGGAGGGGGTGAAAATGGGGTGAAGATAGGACTTTTTTTACTTTTTCGCAAATACCTCAAAAACGGTGCGTTTTTCTTAAAATATAATGAATTACAAAAATAATCTACATTAAATTTCGAACAAAATGATACCATACAATACCTATCTACTATGAACGGTTCAGGTAATATTGAGGGGTAAATGTGATTTTTTTCTTAAAATTCTAAAAAAAGTTGTTTTTTAAATGCAGGAAAACCATGGATACCCATAAAAAAGTTTTTGTTATTTGCATTTTCTCTATTAACTTACTCGTTTATGAGCTACAGGATGCGGAATGTACACAACAAGCCTTTTTCCATTAGTGTAACATGCTGTAACTCCTAAACGAGTAGCTTTTAAGAGAAAATGTCAAAATTAAAAATGTTTTTAAATTGGATTTATATACCAAAACAATCATAAACTACAGGGTGTTCCATAAGAAATAACAAAGTTGTCGGCCATATTGGAAAATGGCGAACATATTTTTAAAATTGGGAACCATTCCAAATCATCTAAAAAAATAAAGGGGAGTGTCCCATTAGAAGTCAACTAACTGTATAACCCATGATAAAAAAGTTAGCTATTGGTTCACTTTAGGTGAGACATCCTGTATACAGGGAGTCCTGTAAGTAAACAGCCAAACCCCAGGAAATGGTTCTATGGGTGAAAATAAAAAGAAAATCAAGAGCTTTTTTTCCACAATCGCTTCGTTAACCAGATATTTGCCATTTTGTTTTTTCACAGAAACATTATTTCATCTCTGAATTTTTTAACCGATCATTAACAAACTTGGTATGTATGTTGAGGTAAAATAGACCCACGTTAGAAAAAAATATCTTAATCCAATAAAAATTTTAAAATGGCGGCCATTTAATTTTTTAAAATTGAAATTGCTAGAAATGGCTAATTTTATGAAAAAATGTCTGTAACACTTTTATTAAGCTTTTAAAATAATAAAAAATAAATAAATATTACAATTTTTATTTGTAAAATGAGGCAACCCTGAATAGCGTAGCCTTAATCACAATAATTTTACAACTAAAAATCGTTGTAACTTCAGTTATTTTTTATTCCATCTTCTTAAGAATTCAAACGGTAGAAAGTTCACCGTGTTCCCGTATCTAGGTAGGTTTGTCCTTTTTAGGTAGGTAAGTCATATTTAATTATATTGTAGTTATATTTGTGATAAAATGGAAAATAAAAAGTGTTACTTAACAAAATTTACAAAATACTTATAAATAAAATTCCCAACCCCATTTTCACACCCTCCTACCCAAGACCGGCACGAAAATCAGTGTAACTTTTTTACACATATTAATGGAGGGTTATTGAACAATTTGGCACTTGTTAGAAACTTTTTTTATGGGTTTCCATGGGTTTCCTCCATTTAAAAAACAACTTTCTAAAAAAGTTGTTTTTTAAATGGAGGAAACCCATGGACACCCATAAAAAAAGTTTCTAACAAGTGCCAAATTGTTCAATAACCCTCCATTAATATGTGTAAAAAAGTTACACTGATTTTCGTGCCGGTCTTGGGTAGGAGGGTGTGAAAACGGGGTTGGGAATTTTATTTATAAGTATTTTGTAAATTTTGTTAAGTAACACTTTTTATTTTCCATTTTATCACAAATATAACTACAATATAATTAAGTATGACTTACCTACCTAAAAAAGACAAACCTACCTAGATACGGGAACACGGTGAACTTTCTACCGTTTGAATTCTTAAGAAGATGGAATAAAAAATAACTGAAGTTACAACGATTTTTAGTTGTAAAATTATTGTGATTAAGGCTACGCTATTCAGGGTTGCCTCATTTTACAAATAAAAATTGTAATATTTATTTATTTTTTATTATTTTAAAAGCTTAATAAAAGTGTTACAGACATTTTTTCATAAAATTAGCCATTTCTAGCAATTTCAATTTTAAAAAATTAAATGGCCGCCATTTTAAAATTTTTATTGGATTAAGATATTTTTTTCTAACGTGGGTCTATTTTACCTCAACATACATACCAAGTTTGTTAATGATCGGTTAAAAAATTCAGAGATGAAATAATGTTTCTGTGAAAAAACAAAATGGCAAATATCTGGTTAACGAAGCGATTGTGGAAAAAAAGCTCTTGATTTTCTTTTTATTTTCACCCATAGAACCATTTCCTGGGGTTTGGCTGTTTACTTACAGGACTCCCTGTATACAGGATGTCTCACCTAAAGTGAACCAATAGCTAACTTTTTTATCATGGGTTATACAGTTAGTTGACTTCTAATGGGACACTCCCCTTTATTTTTTTAGATGATTTGGAATGGTTCCCAATTTTAAAAATATGTTCGCCATTTAATAATATGGCCGACAACTTTGTTATTTCTTATGGAACACCCTGTAGTTTATGATTGTTTTGGTATATAAATCCAATTTAAAAACATTTTTAATTTTGACATTTTCTCTTAAAAGCTACTCGTTTAGGAGTTACAGCATGTTACACTAATGGAAAAAGGCTTGTTGTGTACATTCCGCATCCTGTAGCTCATAAACGAGTAAGTTAATAGAGAAAATGCAAAGAACAAAAACTTTTTTATGGGTATCCATGGTTTTCCTGCATTTAAAAAACAACTTTTTTTAGAATTTTAAGAAAAAAATCACATTTACCCCTCAATATTACCTGAACCGTTCATAGTAGATAGGTATTGTATGGTATCATTTTGTTCTAAATTTAATGTAGATTATTTTTGTAATTCATTATATTTTAAGAAAAACGCACCGTTTTTGAGGTATTTGCGAAAAAGTAAAAAAAGTCCCATCCACCCCCCTTTTTATTTTAACCCTCCTTCCCAAATCCGACACTCAAATCCGTGTAACTTTTTTATACATATTAAGGGAGGTTTATTGAACAATTTGGCACTCATTAGAAACTTAACGAGTAAGTTAATAGAGAAAATGCAAATAACAAAAACTTTTTTTTGGGTGTCCATGGGTTTCCTCCATTTAAAAAACAACTTTTTTTAGAATTTTAAGAAAAAAATCACATTTACCCCTCAATATTACCTGAACCGTTCATAGTAGATAGGTATTGTATGGTATCATTTTGTTCGAAATTTAATGTAGATTATTTTTGTAATTCATTATATTCTAAGAAAAACGCACCGTTTTTGAGGTATTTGCGAAAAAGTAAAAAAAGTCCTATTTTCACCCCCTCCCCCCCAAACCCGACACTCAAATCATTGTAACTTTTTTTTACATATTGAGGGAAGTGTACTCAACAATTTGGCACTGGTTTGAAACTTTTTTTTGGATGTCCCGGTTTAGGTCTAATTGCACCGTACTATATGCTTGTTTTAGATTCAGGGTAGTGTTGGGTGCATAAAGTATAATAACTACTTTTGAAATAGAAAGCTGTTTGAATAATATATCTGATACCGGCATTGTTAATGCAGGTGGCATAATTATGTCCATAAACAATAATTATTGTAGGCTACTACTTTATAGATTATGCCAATCCTAGCTAAAAT